CTATGTTTTAACTGTAAAATTAGGGGTCGTCTTATACGCCGGAAAATACAGGTAGGTGTGGTTTCTGCCCTCATGGCCTCGATGGCTGGGTGGGATGGGAAAACAGGTGTAGACGCTGGGTGGTATTGTGTGACTGTCAAAGTTATCACAGGGCTTTCCTATGCTTACTCTTTCACTCATTCATTCATTCAGTGGTCAGTCTTTTATTAAAGTATAAAATGCACACTGGCTGGGTGGCCCAGTTGGTTGGAGCATTGTCCCACACATCAGAAGGTTATGGGTTTAATTCCTGGTCAGGGCACATGCCTAGGTTGTGGGTCCAATCGCTGTTTGGGATGCATATGGGAGGCAACAGATCAATGTTTCTCTCTCATATCTCCCTCTCTCTCTCTCTCTCTCTCTCTCTCTCTCTCTCTCTCTCGCTCCCTCTCTCTTTTTCTCTTTTCCTCTTTCTAAACATATCCTCTGGTAAGGATTGGAGGGAAGGAGAAAAAGAAAGAAAGAAAAAAAAAACCATAAAGAGCTCTGAGCAGAAATAAATGAGCCATAAACTCTAACCTCAAAAACTATTAGTCTAGTCAAAGATAAGGATGTAGGTGGATGATTCCACTCAGAACACACGGATTCTCTGCAGTCCGTTCACGGGGCCGGGGGAGCACAGATGAGGCGATGGGAGCTTGGCTTTAAAGCGTAATTACACGCTCACCACGTTCAGAAGGAGAGATCAGCATTCCGGGCAGAAGGAACAGCAGGGACAACGGCAGCCTGGTATGAAGGCGTGTATGCTTGCACCATGACAAGAATTTATGGCAGTGCCAAGAGATGATCTTGGAGAAGTGGTTTGGGGCCAGGCCTGAGATGATCCTGGTGTTTGATGCTAAGGGATCTGGTAGGAAATGGGGAGCCCCCAAAGGGAGGGGAACAACACAGCCAAAGACCTTCCACAGCAGCAGAGAAGGAAAAACTTGAGGTGGGAAGACTTTACAGAGTCTCTGACAATGATTCAGCAGAGAGTTGGCAAAGTAATGGATTGGGGCAGTGATAGGGGTATAGAAATGAATAGGAGAGATATTGAGGAAGGTAGAATTGGCAGGATTTTTGACCAAAGGAATGGGGTGGTTTCTGGTTGGGTGTCTGGGTGAATGGTGTTACTGTTGACTAAGAGGGGGACTCGGAGGAGGACTGGGGGACGGTGAGCCCGAGCCTGGGTGAAGTGAAGTGCCTTTGGGATGTTTTATTGGCAGGAGTCACAGGAGAGCAGTCCTGCCTGGAAACATGAACTTGGGAGTTGTTAGTTTACAGGGGTGCTTGGAGCCATAGAGTGAGTGGGATTCTAGGAGGGTGTGGAGTGAAAAGAGAATAGGGTTGGCACCAGCATTTAAGAACGGACAGGGGAGATGAGCCCACCAAGGAGGCTGAGTGAGGCCAAGAGGCATTTCTGCTTCCCCGGTCCCCATGGGCATGGAGAGTGAACACCCAGTGGCCACAACTCATCCTCCACCAGAGTCACCACCCTTGGAGTTCCGGAGTGACGAGGGGCTCGGGCTAGGACCTTGAGGAGAGCTGACACAGGACACATAGACCAGGCTTGCCTCCCCACCCCTCCCACTTTTCTCCTCATGCACAGTAACGCCCAGCCCTTTCACAGGTCTGTTCTTCTCCGAGAAAAAAAAAATCAAGAGGATGTAAGAAAAGAGGAAATAAAGACATGCTGAGTCTGTTTAGTGTTTTAGATCAGACATGGGCCTAGCACCTCCTAACATCAAAGAAAACCTTGTCCGAGGTTGACTCCGGTGAGCTCTTTCTTTCCTTATGTCATTAAGAGCCAAGAGATCCAGGTTCTGTCATGATTAACCAAAGGTGGATTTTACAAACAAAACAAGGGGAGGAAATGGCCCCCGGATCATGCCATCTGACTCGTGTTTTGCTGTAGACGCAGGTCTGTGGCTTTAAACCGGCCATGTCTCCTAGCAGCCAAATAATTGATCTATTCGGTGTTCTGGCTTTAAGCAAAAAAAAAAAAGCGAACTGGCCTCTTTGGAAATGTTGGCAGCTTGGCTGGTCCATTAGTAAGACCGAAAAAGCAAAACATTAACTGGAACAGGCCATTATGACGGGGCTAGGCAGGAGTCATCAATAGATGATGTCATTTCAGAAAGAAGCAAGCCAGTGTCACGAGGCCCCTGGGCAGTCAGACTACCCTCCCTGGCCCATCAGCACGCTCCTCTGCAGACACTGAAGTCTTCCAGGGGGAATCTGAGCCAGAAACAAAGGGCCTCACTTTACCCTTCTTTTGCTCAGCTTGATTCTGGAAGGTCCTCAGTCCGCCCATGTGCTCCGGGTCCTTCTCTGTCTTCTCACACACCTCATCCCAGGAACACCTATCTGTCCTCTGTGTCCTGTCTCCCTCTCCGAATACCTTCCTCTCCCTTCCTTTCTCATCCGAGCTTTTAGAAAGAGTAGTAGGCTGTCTCCCCCTCTTCAGCTCCCATTAGCTCCTGCCTCTTCCCCTTGCGGGCACTAACAATATTCCTGCAAGTGCCAAGCACTGGGCTGAGGGCTTTCCCTGCACCATCACCCTTAATCCCCACAGCAGCCCCTATGAAATGGGTGCTACTGTTATCCCATTGTACAGAGGAGAAAACTGAGCATCCGATGGACAGGCAGGCTCACTAGCTCCTGTAAGGCAGTAGCAGATCCCACTTTTTAAAAAATATATATATCTTATTGATTTTTTTATAGAGAGCTAGAAACATCGATGAGAAAGAAACATCAACCAGCTGCCTCCTGCACAACCCCCACCAGGGATGTGCCTGCAACCAACGTACATGAACCTGGGACACTTCAGTCCGCAGACCAACTCTGTCCACTGAGCCAAACCGGTCAGGGCAGATCCCACTTTTTAAGCCTCTGCAACGCCTTTTGGCCAAAGTCACCCACGACTGCCTGCCAGTCCTGGTGGCCCCTTCTCAGTCCTCATCTCCTCTTCCTGGTGCAGCAACTGGTGCTGCCAACCCCTCTGCTAACTGGGCTCTCGGGAAGCCACTTCCCCTCTCCCCCCCTTCACAGAGGGGGTTCCCCCAGATTTCATTCTGGGCACTTCACTCTTTAGGAAACTCTAAGCGCTTTTGATTCCCCGCCCACCAGAGACCACCTTGCCCGCCTCCTCATGGCGCAGCGTCAGTGTGAGTGAGTGGCAGAGCTGGGGCTGGAGCCAGGTCCACTTCTCCTTACTGACAGCGGCCACCACCTACTCCCTGTTTTTGTTTGTCTGTTTTTGTGGGTGTTTTGCTGAGCAGCAGCAAGCAGCCCTCCCCTGGAGGAGGAAGAAGGTGAGAGACCCTGATAAGGTGGGCGGAGGCTATTTTTAGAGGCTGCTGGCTTTCCACTTGGTCTGAGAGAAACCCGAGGGTCAAGGCAGTCAGGCACGGGATTGAAAGGCTGGCTCATTAGAGGGAATTAAGACACAGAAGCCGCAGCCCCCCACCGGCCTTGCTTTCAACTCTCTGCCTGTTTGCCCTGTGGCTGGACCTGATGAGAACCTGGCTCTCTGCCTCCATTTCCCCTTCATCCTACCCACGAGGCTCTGAGATGACACTAGAGTAAAGATGTAACGAAGTAAAGTAGGAAGAAAAAAAAAAGAAAGAAAGAAACTTCGGGACAAGGGTGTCATTGTCCAAGCAGAAAAAGGTCCTAGAACAGCAGCAGATCCAAGAAGGGGGGCCCTGGCGGGAGGCTCACTGACCCCCAACACCTGTCTCAGCAGCAGAGAGAGGGTCAGGGAGGAAAGGAGAAAGGCTGGAGGGGGCCGCAGGCCTGGCGGGTCCTTCAGGGGGTGACCTTGACAGGGGGCTCTGCGGCCCTCCACGAACAAATGGCTGTCACCCTGGTAGGATTCCTGGTTGGGAGTTTTGGGGTGCTCCCGCTGAGCGCCCAGGCCTTTGGCTGAGGTCTAGTTCTGTGATGAGGGTGCAGAAGTGCTTGGGCCAGGTCATCTCCAAAAGGCTGGGAGGGCAATGGGGGAGGCCAGGAGCCCGTCCTAACAGCGAAGGGGTGGGGTTGGGGGTGGGGATGTGCCTGCCCGGATTGGAGACCCATCATAATTGGGGATCTGAGGCCAGGGGGCGGCCGGGACCGGCCCTGCCCAGCTCTCTGGGGCTAAAGCTGCTGGAGTCACAGGCATTTTTGCGAAGCTGGTGGCTGTTACCCGGCATGAGGGTCCTCACCGCGGGGCGCCCTTCTCCGGCGGGGGCCCGGCCCAGGCCAGCTCTCCGGGGGCCCTAGGAGCTCCCGGAATCGGACCCGAGCTGGAGGGCCCGCCGGAGCTCCGACCTCTGAGCCCGCGGCGTCCCGGGCAGGAGCGGGGGCACAGGTTGGAGGAGGGACAGGTTGGGAGAGCTTGTCCTGCTGCTCCCACGGCCCAGCCCCCCCCCCCCCCCCCGGGAACCGAATCCCGCCCCTGCCGATGGGGAAACCGAGTCCCCGGGAACGGACAGGGCTGCCAAGGCGGCTCCTGCCTCCGCGTCCTCCCCGGGCCGCCCAGGCGCGGGCACCGCGGCGCTTCCACCCGCTCCGTCCCCCGCAGTTTGGGAAACTTTTCCTGCCGCTGCCAGGCGCGGCCCGAGCCCGGATCCCACGACCCCCCCGCCAAGCCCCTTCTGCACCCCAAGCCCCCTCTGCACCCCCAAACCGCCGGAGCACGTGGGCGCGGGCGGGCACCTGGAGCCGGGCAGGGGGCCCTCCGCTCCGGTGCAGATGCGGCGCCCGGGCAGGCGGGGGGCGCCGGCGGGGCGGACGGGGCGCCGGGCTCGGGACCCCCGGCCCCCGGCTCCCCGGCCCGAAGGCAGCCGGAGGCGGCGGCTATTTATAGAGGAAGCCGCGCTCAGTCCCTCTCGCCCGCGGCGGCGACAGCTGAATATTTTGCCCAGATATGGTGGGGTCCCGTGCGGGGGCAGGGAGCCCCGGGCGCAGGGGGACCCCCGGGCTGGTGGGGGGCTTACCGGGCCGTGGAGCCGCGGGGGAAGGTGCGAGCGGTGGCGAGCGGAGCGCGCGGTGGACGGACTCCGTGCGGCGGCGGGCGGGCGGGCGGGCGCTGGGCCGGGGGAGGGAGGGAGCGGGGCGGTCCGCTCCGCAGGCACCGCGCCCCGCCCCGCCCGCCGCTCCCTCTTATCTCTCCTCCGCCGGGGGCGCCCGGGCCCGGGAGGGAGCGACACCCGCGGCGGCCTGGGCAGGGGCCGGCCAAGGGCGGGTGGGGGGAGGGGGCCCTCGGGTGCAGCGCCCTCCGGAGTCCCGGGTCCCCACGGGTCCCAGGAGTTAAGGTGACGGTACATCATCTGGGAAAAGGTGGGCGGTTCTCGTCCTGCGGGTCTAGGAAGGTTGTTGGATGGTGCAAAGCCAGCCCGGCAGCAGCTGCACCTTCACCTCCTTCCACTGAAGCAGCAACGCCCCTCCACCTCACCAGCAGCCCCCCTCCAACCCCGAACCCTCTCTCCCCATCCCTCCCCCCCCGCCCCCCCCCCCCCCCCACACAATGCTCGCTTTGCGCCCCCGAGTTGAGTCTTGTCTCTATACCGAGAACGGAGGGTCCCATATGACGAGGTAGAAGAACCGCAACAAACCAAGTCCCATGCTCTTAAAAGGCTAATATGTTTTCCAGGACAAACCACTCAAGCCCAACAAACTTTAAGTGTTTTAAGTTTTTAATTGGCTCGTAGAAAACAATTTGAATGCGCATTAGGTATGATCTCTGGGTTATGATGGAAGGTTTGTGGTAGGAACAACTAACAGGAGCTGTTTGTAACCCCGGGGTGTGATTACCGAGGAGAAGCACTCTGTTTTTAATCTCATCTCCCACTAACATGCATCTCTACATGGCAAAACCCAGAAAGCTGTGAGAGAATGCTCTTTGCAAGCGATATGTTTTAAAATAAAGCACGGATTTAACATTCCAGATGCTTTTTAAAACTCTTTTGCTGTGGAATCTGACAAGTGCAGGTTCCAGAATTCCCCTCTCTGAGAACACCTGTTGCAACCACCACTCCGTCAGGACAGGGCATCGCCAACAAGCCCGGAAGCCAACGTGTCCCTTCCCTCCAGCTCTCCCTCCCGAAGATGGCTTTCCTCACTCACAGCAATCCCCTCCTGCTTCCCTCTTTCCTCTTCCCTCCACATTTGTGAAATCGTGTTGTTTCCTATGGTGGTCGTTTCCTCTCCTTGCTGTAGAGCAGTGTTTCCCAAACTTTTGACATATGTGTGCCCCTTCTATAATTTTCGTAACACTGAGTACCCCTCGTACTCATGAGAACATAGAATTAGGCGCAGCTAAGCATGGTGCAGTGCACATCCCCACCAAACTCTTCCTGTACCCCTGCGGGTACGCGTACCACTCTTTGGGAAACACTGCAGTGTAGAGGAATATAAGCCCCACCGTGTACCACTGTTTTTAAGTGTACATCTCATTCTCAACGAACGTATAGGGTGCTTGCAGGTTTTGGCTGCTACAGATAGTGCTGCTGGGAACATTCCTCGCCGGTGTCCTCCTCCTGCACAAGTCCATGCCGCAGACACACTTGGAACTAACGAAAGTGGAAACATTCCCCCCGTTTCTGGGACGTGAGTTGTGGTATCTCACTGAGGTTTGAATTTGTGCCCTACTGTGTTGAGCACCTCTTCATGTTTATGGACCAGTAGTTTTTCTCTTCTGTGAAGTATTTTGCTCAAAAGTATTGCCTATTTTGTTTACTGAAAATGTTCAGTTTATTTCCCCACGACATATAGGGTGAGGCCAAAGTCGGTTTACAGTTGTTCATATGGAAAATAATAATAAATAATAATATAAAGTAAAATCTGTTTCTCATACAACTGTAAACCGACTTTGGCCCCATCTTGTACAGAATATATTCCTCCATTCTGCTTTGCCTTTTCACCTTCATAATAATGTCTTTGACAAACAGGTGTTCTTCATTTCAATACAGTCTGGTCTATCAACTTTTCCTTCATTGTTAGCACCTTGTGTGTCCTGCTTAAGACGTCTTTCCTACTCCTAGACCTGTGGGCGGCAAACTCATTAGATAACAGAGCCAAATATCAACAGGACAACGACTGAAATTTGAGAACCAAATTTTTAAAACTTAAACTTCTTCTAAAGCCACTTCTTCAAAATAGACTCGCCCAGGCCATGCTATTTTGTGGAAGAGCCACACTCAAGGGGCCAAAGAGCCGCATGTGCTTGCGAGCCGCAGTTTGCCGACCACTGTCCTAGACCATACAGGTATTTTCCTATGTTATCTTCTCACATTAACCTTTCACGCTTAGGTTTATCCACCTGGAATTGACTTTGGAATGTGGTGTGAGGTAGAGATCAAGTTTCATTTGTCTGTCTGTCAAATTGTCCTAGCACATGATTACCTTTTCAGTTATATCAACAATGCAATTAATTGCTTTATTTAAAAAAATAATAGAAACACTTCTAAAGTCAGGGAAATAGAAACCACCTCTTCATTAGCTGTAGATAATTTGAGAATTTTTGTTTATTTTTGTAGGAAAGGAAACCATTATAAAAAAAAAACATTTATACTACTTTATTTCACTTACACATTATGTCAGACTTTTTATTTTATTTTATCATAAATAGTTACTTAAATCACTGGCATAAGCATTCCCAAATTTTGAATCACTTTCATTATAAAGTATTAATTTTAAAAAGTTAGAAAGATCATTTCAATGCTTTATACAAATAGCTTAAAACACCTGGTCTTTAACTTCTTTCTGTTCTTTCTTTCCCTAGATTTTCTCACACAAAAAAATAAGCAAATGACTTCAAGTGTTTTACCTTCAGCCCAGTGGTCTCCCTGAAATCCACTCCAATCTCCAATAGTTTGTGCATATCTTCACCCACAGGCCTTTTAGCTTGAACTCAGTAAGTTAACCAACATGTTAAGCTTCCCAATCACACTGAGGAAGGGTCACCATCCTACCCTCTTAGACCTTAAGACTTGGCAAAACTCTTTTTCTTTTTCTCTTTTTTTTCTCCCTGGCATCACTCTTTGATGCCTCTTTTTCCTTAGCTTCTATATCCAAGATGTCAGTACTAGTCATTCTAACCAAGAACTTCAAAAAACCTTTAATATTTTTCTTTAGTCCCATTGCTCCATGTTAGCCAGGGCCTCCCCCCTCATCTTTAGGCCATTGCCAAGGCCTCCAACCGGTCCCTCTGTTGATGCATCCTGCCCACTCCTTAGCAAGCACATTCATTATGTGCCTGATGCGGGCGAGACAGAACTGTGTGCGCTGTGGAGGACACAGACAGCGGTGCGCATCTCCCACCAGCTCCACACTCACAGTGACGTCACATTCAGTGACGTCACACGGTTAGCTGGAATGGAACAATGGAGGGAGTACTTACAACATAGGAATCATCACACTTTGCAGATCAAGGTTCACAGACCACACCCTCTAGAACTAGTGATCAAACATTTACCAGCACGTCACTGCTTGAGAATGCCAGTAACCCTGAATGGACATGCGTGGGGCTCAGGGACCACATAAAGGTCCCGTGTGCCTGGCACGGGGAATGGTGGACAGTGAGGTTGGGTAGGGAGATGGTAGAAGGCCTGGGTCTTCAGTCTGGGCAATGAGAAGCCACGTAAGACTGGGGGGAGGGCCACACTGGTGTGCCAGGCTGCCCCTCCTGCAGCACCACTAGCAATGCTGGTGTGCTAAGACTTGGGATAGTCTGCACAGGGTCTGGTGATTTGGGGACACCACGGTAGAGTTAAGTCCCGAAATTCTCAGTCTAACTGGAGAAGAAGCCAGCACTGCAAGGAAGACAACATGAATAGAAAGGGAAACTCTTCATCTTAAGATCATAAAGCCTAGAAATTAGGAGGTAGTCAGTTCTTATATGGATAAACATTTTAATCTAATATTATAGTAATAATTCAAGCGCAATTTTCTTCGAAAATTCAACTGTTAAATACTACTTATTAAATAGTTTTCATCAAACATAACATATTCTTTTCAATCCCCACAGCCGTCAGCCATGTAGCAGAGATAAGATTTTTTTAAGCCTACTACATTTTGTTATTGCTAGAACATCTGGATTAGTTGCGGAGGTCTCAGAGCAGCCATTAATTAATTTTCGAAAGCTCTACCAAATATTCTGACATATAATCATGAATCCAGATATCCGTGTCTGGCAGGGATGTGTCCACTAAATACAACACCACTTTCTGGTCCCAAGGGTTAGCACTTTCTATCACCGTCTGCACCAATGCCACCAGAGGTTTCTTCTCCACATGATTCCGGAACACCATGGAAGCCTCCTCAGACCACTGGCTGCACTTCACTCCTAGGAGAGAGCAGAGCAGGGAGGGGTCAGTGAGCCTTTCTCTGCCCACTGTAATGGAAAACTCCTTAGTCAACGCCACAGTCGCTTAACCGTCCCCGGCTGGACTTGCCTAGCTGACAAAACAGTTGCAGAACCGTCTTGAAGCAGGGCAGCTTACAGTTTTCTATTCTAAACGGGTTACTTTTGTAGACCATTTTCATGCTGTGTTATAAAATGAAGTTATAATAACTACTGTACATTTCCCTACATAAAATACATGCAAATTTAAAATGATAATAGACATAAACAGGGGGAATAAAATATCAATGATACCAACAACATTTCTCTTATTTATAGATTTTTCCCCCTGATGAATGAGATATAGTAAAAAAAAATGCATTAATATACTAATTTTTCAAAAATTTATTATATACAACAACATGATTGAACATCTGGAGACTCAGTTACTATTTCCAGCTCTTCCTCAGTTACGGTTTCCAGCAAGTGGTCTGATTTTGGGCAAATCAGTTTATTTCCCAGGCCTTGGTTTACTTATAAAATAAACTCGTTGGATCAGATGAAATTTAAGTCCTATGCATTTCTAAATCCCCATGACTTTTGTTTGTTTTGTTAATCCTTACCTGAGGATATTTTTTCCATTGATTTTTAGAGAGAATGGATGGGAGAAAAGAAGGGAAGGGAAGGGGAGAGAAAGAAAAAGAAAAAGAGAGAGAGAGATAAATTTGAAAGACACATCCATTGGTAGCTTCCTGCATGAGCCCCCACCAGGGCCAGGGACAGAACCTGTAATCCAGATACACACCCTTGACCGGGAATCAAACCCTCGACCCATTGGTGCATGGGCCGACACCCTAAACACTGGCCAAAACATCGCAAGTTTTTTCTTAATGCTGCAATAAAAGTATAAAGAACCTAAACACCCAACAATAGGGAAATAATGATTAAACAGAATACTTTGCAGCTATTAACATCATTATTAAGACCATCAAACAGCCACCCCAAAATTAGGGGGAAAATGCTAAGTGAATAAAGCAGATTGTGATATTGTACCTGGACTAAGATTATAGCTTTAGAAATAAACTCATACATGAACAGAGACAGAAAGGAATGTGGAGAAACAGAAATAGCAGGTATAGCTGGAGGGCATGACTCTGAGAGACCATTAAAAATTATTTCCATTATGGTCTGGAAGTTGTTTGTGCTAAAAAAAAAGTTATCTCAATAAGCCAATGACTCTGTGCTCAGGACAACATGACAATATAAACCATATTGGGGAGTGAATTCAAATTCCACAGAAATTACCTGCTAGTTGAGCCGTGACTGCCTGGAACGGCAGCTTTCGGAATATGTCCACGAGGGGCTGTACTTTCCTTATGTTGACTAGCTCGTGCTTGCCATAGTCCAGCTCATACACGGATACCAGTCCATTGGTCAGGATCCCCTTTAAAAGCACCCTGTGCCACCTAGGTGTGCAAAGGATTGAAAAGGAAGAAGAAACACACACAATCAACACCTGCTTTAGTTAAGGATAGCATTTTATGATAAAAAGAAAAATGAGTATGAATGAAGTCTATCAAAATATCCTAGAAGTTTTTAAAGGGATTGCTTCTTTTTTCAAAGGTTCCTATTCTTGGCTTTAGCACTGGCTCATTTGGTGGAATTCCCTCACTCTAACGACCTTTTTCAGGCCTCATGGAGCTGAAGGAGAATGAGACAATCCACTGACCATCACGAAGCAGAATGAAACAAATGCCATTGGGGATAATCAGGACAAGGCTAGTAGATTCCTTCATTCTTTCGGGGAGATGGGGATGGCCATACGTTGGGGGCAAGGCACATGGGTGGAAGGTGGGAGAGGGAGGCATGCAGACCAGGCCAGGCTGAAGACCGGCATGGGAGAAGAGCACAGGGGGCTCCACAGGGCGCCGTGCTTTGGGTGGAGCAAACACTACAGTAAGCAGGGCGGTGGGATGTGGGCAGGAGTGGGAGAGAAAGTCAGACTGGAAAAGGAGGTTGGGAAGAGATTACAAAAAAGAATGTAAAGTTGACAATTTTAATTATGCCAATAAATGCATTGAAAAACAAAAGAAATCTAACCTATTGCTTAAAGAACCTGGAAAGGGTAGGAGAATATGGGGAAAGATCCAGTGTTCAAGATGCCATACAAATATGCTTTTCCCCTCTGGGCCTTTACTCATTAATAATGAGAAAAACCTAGACCTCGACGTTCAGGAATGAAGGACCATTGTGAAGTCCTAGAGTCTTGCCCACATGATTATGCTGAGGCGAGGATGGTGGCTCATAAGTCTGAAAGGGAAGTCTCTCCTGCATGGTGGGAGCGGGGCTGCCTCAGGTGGCAGACCTGGACACCCTCTGAAGCCCGTGTATCAGGTACAAGCCCTGTGGAACAGCAAGCACTTCACTGCAACAAGAAAGCTACAAAAAAGCTTTCTTCAACACTGATTGGGGGCTCCTAGGGGAAATTCCATAAACCTTCAAATTAGGCCACAGTGCAGCAAGCAAAACTCCGTGAGTTACAGGGCCACAAACAGGTATCAGAATAAGTACCTAAGAGCTTTTGGGGCTGAACTGCTGAGCTGAGGCCCCACTGAGCTGGGCCATTTTGTAGTTGCGTTATGCTGGGCTCTTTGCTCACTCTCTGAGCCTGTTATCTCATGGGTAATACTTAATTTTAATTCACTTTCAGGAATAATATATACAAAGCACTTAGCACTTTATGTACTTGACCTTTTAGGCACTTTGCAAATGGTAGCCATCATAATTATTATTAAAATTAAGATAAGCTGTGTAAATATAAGAACTTCAGACCAAATTAAAGAGAACTTTTCATTAATGGAAATGCCAGCTTGGTGCATGCTTCTAATTAAGTGCAAAAGGACATTAAAACATTGGGTTTCAACCAATAGAATGTCTTCAAATTGTACAAGGCAAATGATGTCTCTGCTTTGAGTCTATAAGTAAGAGAAGTGAGGAGAGAGCCATCAGAGAACTTAAATATTAAAGTTTTACTCAGCTTTCACCTTTCAAAACTAATAGCTTAAATAAAGGCTAGATTTCCAATTTCAGTGCAAGGCTGCTTGTGAATCTCCTGGAGAATCTGTTAAAAACACGGATTGTGGGGTTCCACCCCCAGCGATTCTGATTCAGGCTATCTGGGGAGACCCTCCACTACAGGTCTGGAGTGATGAAGGAGAATCTCCATTGCTAATAGGTTTCCCAGGTTATTCTTAGACCTGGAAACCACTGTAATAAAAAATGCATTCAAAATTCCTACGTCTTAACTTACCTTAGTTGGAAACAAGGTGTAGTAAAGAGTCCTGGGTTGTAAGCAATAGAAACTCTAAACATTTTACATGGTTTCAGTTCATAAAGTTAAAAAAAATCAGGGAATCTGTTCTTATCTGTAGGACAGCCCTTGCTTATCTGGGGTACAGATTAATTCAGGCGTCTTCAAACTACGGCCCGCGGGCCACATGCGGCCCGCAGAGGAGTCTGATCCAGCCCGCCAGGTTTTTTGGGCAGTGAGCGCAGCCGAGGTGTTACAGTAGGAATTAGTAGTTCATATAGTCCGGCCCTCCAGCTCTCTGAGGGACCGTGATCTGGCCCCCACTTTAAAAAGTTTGAGGACCCCTGGATTAATTGGTTGAAGCCCAAGAGTCCTGGGGTAGAGCTGTTAGGCACATGGGGTGAGGGGAACGATTCTAACATCCCAGACTGCAGGTCCCTCCCACACAACCCTTGCTTTCAAGTAGGAATCCCCAGTAATTATCATTAATCTGCCCCTCAGATAGCAGGTAACAGTAATTTGATTTTCACTGTGATTAATTTATCCTGCAAAGAATTCTGAGGCAAATTTATACCAACACTGTTTCTATTGTTCTGAATTAAACATATTTATGCTTATTGTTATCAATAAGTTGACACAGTAAAAATACTTTTAGGAAGATGAAAAACTTGCAACATGTTAGTTGAATGCTTTTCAGAATGAGTACTATACTTTTTCACTTTTAAGAGTGAAAAATGTGGGAGGAAATAAACCCTACATAAGAAGAGAATGATAAATTATGATTTCTCTGTATGATGGACTATTTTCTCAGCCATTAAAAATGTTTATGAAGAAATTTTATTACATGAAAAACTGTTCACAGGATTGTCAGGTAAAAGAGCAAGTACAAAATTATACATACTAATAATAATCCAGCTGTATAAATATGTAGAGTAAAAACTAGAAGAAATACACAAATAATTGAAGAAATACATAAGTAGTGTCCGGTTAACTAATTTTCATTTTGTATGCTTTTTTGTATTTTTTAAATTTTCTACAATAAACATCTTATTTTTTTAATTAAAAGGTTATTAAATAAAAATGTTTTTTGAATAAACAAATATATTTTCTAATAGAAAAGTAGAAAAAAACATTTAAAACTTCACTTCAGATATGGTTAAGTTTTAATAGAAAAATGATCACTAGATTTTTAGATAAATGACATCATTTTAAATATTAGAAAACTGCATAATTCATTAATCTCATTTCGTATTCAAAACTCCCATTTGTGCTGCTCAAAGTCCCCCTGCAGGGATTGAGGACTCCGTTATCACTCTACATTTCTCTTAGAAATAGAACAAACGCTTTGTCCAGGGACCTACTTATTTTCCACTTTTGCGGCATACACTTGGTCCTTTTCCACGGCCACGTGGCGCTCCTCAGACACGCTGTAGTACAGGATCATCTCCTCCATCAGAACCTCCAGCTTATGGATCTCCTGCCACGGCTGGATGACGAAGTAGCCCGGGTGGCAGGCCACGGGCACGTACACATCCATGTGCTCCCCTGGCTGCGCCAAGGGCACCGGAGGCGGCAGCTCCTCCGTGGAGAAGGAGAGGGCGTGATCCACCAGGAGCTTCTTGCTGACATCCGCGAGGCTCTTTCTGACACTCTCCCCGGCGGTGCCCGCGGCGGTGCCCGCGGCAGCAGCCGTGTGCCCGTCTCTGCTGCCGGGAGAGCCAGCGTCACCGGCGAGGGCACTCAGAAACACGTCCTTCTGATGCTTCCACAAGTCTGCGTTTGTAATCTGGCGGTTAATGCTGCGGTGAGGATCAGGGAAGTTCTTGGGAGTAAATAAATAAATGTGTGTGACCCCTCTGGCTTCATCCACTTTTGTCACCTTTGAAAAACGTGAAAAAACAATTCAGGAAATCCAAGTTGGCACTGAACTCCAAGAGGTGGTTATAATATTAACGTTAAATATTAAAGCACAGTATTTTGCCAAAAAAAAAAAAAAAACCAAAAAAAAAAAAACACCAAACAAGCAAAAAAAACAAACGAACACCCCAACTTGCTCAAAATCATTTTACTTCAGGTCAGATGAATTATCTATCACGTCTGTAGCAATGCATAAGCTCTTAAGTAGTCTAGCAACCAGCAACAAGCTTATGGAAGTGAAGAATTTACTAACTTCCAAAATCTCTGAGAAATACCTTCCAACTTGCTAGAGGTCATTACTGAGAGGAAATGATTTGATATATCATGACTAAATTTTTAAAATTAATTACATTTAAAACACTCAAAATAGAAAGAAGAGTATGAGGAATCCCCATGTGCTCAACTTCAACAATCCTGAATACTAATAAAACTCCAATATGCAAATCAACTGAACAGAGGAATGACTGGTCACTATGATGCACACTGACCACCAGGGGGCAGGAGCTGCCCCCTGATGGCAGTGCACTTCCACAGAGGGAGTGCCACTCAATCAGAAGTCATGCTCATGGCTGGCGAGCACAGCGGCGGTGGCAGGAGCCTCTCCCACGTCCATGGCAGCGCTAAGGACTGAGCCTAAGCCTACAGTCACTAGGACCTCCCCTGAGGGATCCCAGACTGTGAGAGGGTGCAGGCTGGGCTGAGGGACCTCCCCCGCCAGTGCACGAATGTTGTGCACTGGGCCTCTAGTAATAAATAATCACAGCAATGGCAGAATGTCCAGTAATCATTCTGCTTAAGGCTGGTGTCCGTTCACACTAGAGGGAGGAAAAAGCTTTGACATTCACCATATCCTCCAGGACCTCTGGTCTAAACTCCTTATTTGGTCTTAATATCTGACCTCAGCCCTCAGTCCTTCCCCAATTACTTAAAAGAGGGACCTTGGGAGTGAGAGAGGAGGAGGGAAGCTCCGGGCCAGAAGAGCAGTTTGCACCTTTGCCCGGGAGACCTCTGACTGCCTAGCTACCTCTTTCTGTCAGCGGAGTGAGTGTCCGCCTGGGACACCAGCCACCGATAGTGGCTTATCTTAGAAATGACAAACATGAGATACTTGTAGCCACATCTAGTTTTTATCACAACAGGCCAGGAGTGGAAGGCAGAGACCAGGCCTGAAGACAGGAGGAGACCTGCAAGGCAATCCTGCTGCAGCGATTTATCTAAAATTGTCTTCTTCCTTAGCAAGATGATCTACTTAAATTCATCACTGGAGTGCTAAGGAAGTACTGACTGCTAATTCATTTTGATATTTATGATTCAGAAGTTCAGCTTCAAAAGTAACCATTAAAATATTTTTCTTGAGTACCCAATGCTCTGAATTTAGGAGCTGAAAAAGTAGCTGAGAAAACAATTTTCATTATCATGTGTCAATTAAAAACTATAAAATGATATGTAATTAAGTGAGGAACTGTACATTTTAAATCCGAGAGGAGTAAGAAGAGAGGAAAATCAATGTGAGCTAGAATAATTTAGAAATCTTCATGAAGGTATTTCTCAAGGACATTTCATTATTAATTTTTCATAGAAAATGACAACACAATTTGCATTAGTTAAAACAGAGAAATATCATTTTGCATTTCTATTCTTGGAAATATTAGCAATGTTTTTGATATGAAGAAGCAAAAGTGTAAAAAAAACTAGTGAAATAAATCTAGCAATTGAAGCAAACTTTAGGAAAAGAGGCAAAAACAGAATTAAAAGCAAATAATTTGTTTATAATCTATTACACTAGAAAAAAAAACAGAGGAGTTAAGTGATTTTTAGAAACATTTATCAACACATATATGGTGGTCCCTCTGTTGGGAATTTAATTCCTTATCATGTACAAAATAGGAGCAGAGAACCATGTCTGCTACCTTGATTATAATGGAAAAATTATATAAAGGGTTTTAAAATAGTATTGGAGATTCAGAATAAGTTCTTTTTTAAAAAATAACCTTAATAGTTGAAAGTATTACAGATGTCTACCTCCACCCCCCCCCCCCCAATAACCCCTCTACCCCACTTATCAGAATAAGTTCTTACATAGAAATTAAACCATGAGCCCTAACCATTTGGCTCAGTGGATAAAGTGTCGGCCTATAGACTGCAGGGTTCCAGGTTTGATTCTGGTCAAAGGCACAAGCCCCAGTTGCAGACTCGATCCCCAGTAGGAGGCATGCAGGCGGCAGCCAATTAATGATTTTTCTCTCATTGATGTTTCTATTTCTCCCTCTCCCTTCCTCTCTGAAATCAATAAGAATATATTTTAAAAACTTAAAACATAAAATATCCTTTCACCACACATGTAACCTATCTCAGATGTGGAAGCATCAGTTTACTGTAAGATAAATTCTTTCACACAAAAACAAATGAGCCCTTCCAGCTGACAGCTCCCTTTCTAAATGTATCGGGTCCAGTAAGATGACTGACCTTAATGCTACAGTCCGAGCAATTCAAAACAGAATCTCTTAACCAAAGCACAGCATCTGGCGTCCACATGCCAATCGATTGCGGAACATCCGCTAAACAGCACCTGATGGCCTGAAAAAGAAAACATGATGGAAAAGCAAACACACCACCTTAAAGTAGGTACTTGTAACATCAATATTATTTTCCTACAAGTCAGATGTTGCCAAGATAGAAAGCAAGCGGCAGCGATAGCTATAATGACAATCACAGTGCTCAGGCTGGAGCACCTGCTTTCTTCCTGGCTCTGTTTATATTACTACTGTTATCTTCACTCCTAGTACCAGGCACTTCACCTACTTCTCACCCTACAATACTTTTCTGTTGGACAGGCCAACGTTGCAACCCTAATTATATAAATGTGAAACAGATGTGGAGAGACTATCAGATCACAAAACCGAGAAGACAGGATTGGGACGAATATCTATGTCTTCCCCCCAAACCCAACCATAAAAAAATGAAGTGTCATTTGGATAAAAATCCTGTTAAAGAAATCTTTTTGGAAGCCTATGTGCTTTATTCAGCATTTCCTGAGCACCTGTGGATGCCAGACAATTCTGCTCACCTTTGGGAGGAGGTTATAATGGAGAAAAACTGAGACCCATCACTAGCTAAAACCTCAGTTCCCACAATCCTTTTACCTCCCACCACCACGGCACAAGCTTTTGTAGAATGGCTACAGCAGGGGGTAGTAAAGGGTGACCTCAGGGACTCCTGCCGTCTCATGGAAGCCACTGAACTGATGGAGGCAATTCTGTGAAGGGAACCAAACCTACTTCCTGGATTCCTTCTTTCCTCTCTGGACCACATCCTCCCTGTCATGGCCTCCTCTTTTGGGTGTCTGAGTCTCTCAACGTTTCTTCTCTCCCCCCACCCCCTCCGCCCCTGCCAATGAGGCCACACACTCTATACCTGTAGGGGCCAGGCAGGTGATGACGGAGTGAGGCCTATTGCATGAATCTTCATGCAACGGGCCTCTAGTGTTCTATAAGTCTGGTATTCTTGTCTAAGACAGCTGAATTTTATATCTGAAAACCAGTGGACTACCACATTTGGATTGTTTCCAATTTTGTTACAAACTCAGACTTCAATCATTATCAAAACTGAGAGGGCATCTCACAACACAATTACAAATACATTCAAGTCTTTTCCAGCAAACCCCTGAGCTTGTAACATACAGTACCTGAGACGGTATTGAAACCATTTCTCGTAGAAACCGAGAGGGAATTTCCCTGAGCTCAGACACTTTTACGGATGTCACGGTGCCGGAGTCCAGAAACTGAACATCAAGAGTCCGGCTGCTGTGAACGTTCATGATCTGCAACGAGACAATTTGGCTCATTAGCAAGCACATCCCAAAGGTCAAACGGTTCTGTGCCATTACATCTTGTTCAACTCCAAATTGCATGTAAAAGCAACAAAGACTTCCGTTACTAAATTATCTCTTATTTTAAATGTATTTATAGGTATTCTTTTAGAGTAGAATTAATTTCAACATCTAGTTATTAATTTATTTAATCAGTACCAATCACTAAACAAGTAATAATCAGTAAAATTAATAAACATAGTAATATTTACTATATTTTCAATTCTAGGACACTACTGACTATACAACAATTTGACACATTATTATGTATTGCTGATTATAGGATGCAGTCTGCTCTCTACAATATTAAAATGTGAGAGAAAAAAACCATTGTGTCTTAGCAATGAGGAAATTAATAATAGAGATAACACAGACAGAATTTTACTTTTAGCAAGTAAATGCTATATATTTTTGAATTCTAAATGTTATTTTGTAGCTTTGTCAGAAAACCCAATGATAATTATCTTCATTTGTTCTAACTTAAAATTTGAAACTCAGAAAATCATAAAGAGGTAAAATAAGTCCAAATTAATAATTTGAAAATGGTAAAATTACACATTAAATCAAGGCAATATTTGATTTGTGATCAAATGGCAACCTCACAATGTAAGATACTGGGTGCATCTTTAAATGCCCATAATTTCCCTTACTAAGCCATTGTGACATTGGCATCATTGACTAGAGTTACACTGGCCAAATATAGCCCCAGGAGGATGGCCCTCTGGGCAGGAACTTCATGCCTTCATTGCACTAATTGCCACCATAGGAATAGTGGTGCCTTCAACATAGTCACTGCCATGAGTAACTGAACCAGTCTTGGCATGGAAGTCAGATTTACCAAAAGCAAATCCTATTCCACTGCCCCAGAGGATACTTAATACAATTTTAAAATCTCTTAATATTATGATAAACTCAAACAGCACAATGAAGTAACATTTTAAAATGTATTTATTTATTCAAACATATACACTGAATATTTATATTAGTAGACATGGTATATATTAAATACTTATTATATCCTGGCATAATTGGGCCACAGAGATATACTTTCACATCTTAAAGAGTTCCTAGTCTCATAAGAGATGATACAAATATATAATCATAAAATAATGTAGTAGTAAGGGCAATAATAAAGTTAGGAATATGACAACATAGAGGATGGGCACCTGACCTAGACAGGAAGTAGATGTTAGAACAAGCTTTCAGGACGAGAAAATGCCTAGAATTGGTATTTCCATATATCCTATAATTGAATAATATATACATATATATTCTATAGATTATAATTATCCTCTTAGTCTTTTATTCATGTTTTTACAAAAACGGATTTATAAAAATTAGAACATATTATACTGTAGAAAGTGAATGCAGACCACTCAGGATGTGTTTAGAGGAAGAGTGGTGGCAGGGAGATGGATGACCAGGAAATAAAGCTACTGGATGTATAGAATAAGTTTAGAATGCACAGGTACTGAGATTGATGTGTCAAGAGCAAACATAACATTTAAACACATGATCTGCTTTTCATTAATCCATTTCCCTTCCTCAACTTTCTATGTGCATCACTAAAAGAATGAACACTTTTGCTATCTCAAAGATATTCAATACACACATTGATAGTAATAAAAATAGTACTAGATATTATTCTAAAGATTTGAAGATATGTTGAAAAGTTATTTTTGCCAAATAGGCATAGCCTGAAGAAACTGAAGTTGAGAGATACTCGACAAAATTTTGCTGCCCTTTAAAAGGTCATCAAGACAGAGCAATTGCCAGGTTGGAGAAAACTGAGAGGACATGATAATTAAATACAACTTGAAATCCTGGACCAGACAAAGGACATTTGAGGGACAATCTGGGAAATGTCAGTAAGTTCTGAAGTGTAGTTAATAACATCATGTCGATGTTAATTTCCTGTTTTTGATATTGGTTAAATGCAAGATGATAACATTTGGAGATGGTCAGTAGGAGGCATATAGGAACTCTGAACTATTGATATTTCTGTAATTTTTAAAATATATATATTTTATTGATTTTTTACAGAGAGGAAGAGAGAGGGATAGACAGTTAGAAACATCGATGAGAGAGAAACATCGACCAGCTGCCTCCTGTACACCCCTTACTGGGGATGTGCCCGCAACCAAGGTACATGCCCTTGACAGGAATCGAACCTGGGACCTTTCAGTCCGCAGACCGATGCTCTATCCACTGAGCCAAACCTGGTTTCGGCATATTTCTGTAATTCTTTAAAAGTCTAAAATTATTTCAAAATAAAAGTTTAAAGAAATTAGTACTTGTGCATTTATAAATTATATATTAAACATCACAAACTTTTAAATTCGATAATGCCATGTTCTTTTTAATGAGTCATGTTTCAGACTCTTGTTCTGTAACCCCTGCCTTCTGACACACATTCACATTAATGACAAGAATTCCTTCAAAATTGCTGCATTTGTTAAAGTAAATATGACCAAGTTTTATTGAAATAAAGGGAAAATCAGTATAATTTAGTTTTCAATATGTTGCTTACACAGTATTAAAAATCAATAGAGCAATAGTTCTTGCCTTCTTAGGATTAGTTTCTTTGAGAATCTTATGAAAATTAGGAATATTTCCCCCCAAAACACATAACACACACACACACACACACACACACACACACACACACACACTTTGCAAGAACCCTGAAAGTAGAGGTCTTCGCACCTAGATTAAGAACCTCTGTAATAAAGGAAAACAAAGAAAATAAAATAAAGCCCAAATTTTCAATTTTAACAATTGGGAAAACTAGCTATATTTTAAAAAAAGACACAAAGAAAGGAAATAAACAGTAACTACAAAAAATAAAAAATCCATCTTTGAAAAACATACAGAAATACATGATAAAATATAACAAACCTTTCAAATTCATAACTGAGCTCGTAAGAAAATAAGACAATCATTAGGGGCTGGAAATAGAGGAGTGTGTGAACACTGAAGCCAAAGCCATCTGGGCAGGAGGGAGAGAGGGTTGGAAACTCCCCCAAGAAGCTGGAACTCTCAAGGGCCACAGCTTCAATGGAAGGGCAGCTGTGGAGAGCAATTGGACAATGATCTAGTGAAGCTGCAGATAGGTGTTTCCTATACCCAGAACTGCCTTCCCTACATACGTGGCCTGGGGATATGCACAGGAAGGTTTGTGATGACAATGTTCATAAAAAAATTAGAAACAACCTAAATATCCATCATCAGGAGAATGGAATGATAACAGTGGCATATTCACACATGGTTACTTCACACAGCAATGAAAACAAACGAACCAGAGCTCCACACATGGACATGGCTAATCTCACAAAGAAAGAAATGTGTGTCTCAGAAGGACCAATACATTTCACTATTTATATATATATTTTAAAAATATATTTTTCATCTAGTTATACCATATTCATTTATTTCTTCTTATAAATATTTACACTCATATTCATTTCTATATTTCTACTACCCATATATGAAAGTATCTAGGTAGTAAAAGTGTATGTATATAGATACAAACATAGCAAAAGTAAAAAGAAATGAATAGGAATGAGAAACATCAAATTCAGGGTGGGAGTAGAAGAAAGGTGTTGAAGACGGAGCATTGGCCATTTGGTCATATTTTATTTCTCAAACTGCTTTTTTCATTTTTAAAAAAACTTGTTTGTATGTTTGAAATATTTTGTAAGTTAAAAAAAGTTAAGTGACAAATTTTTACCTCTACTCGCAACCATTTTCCTTTGCAATGGAAGAGGCAGATCTTCCCACAGAAGGGTAAGGAAACGAAGTACTCTGAGGTCATGTGCTGCAAAACAGAATGCATGACACCTTATTACTCCCAGCAAAGAGCATCTGCTCACCATTAGGGAAACGTTGTGTGCCCAGGCCAACTGCTTCATCTGATCTGAGGATGCAAGCCCAGGGTCACAGAACTTCTGCCTCAATTCTCTACACTAGTTGATGGCAGCGATCTATGCTCCTTCCCTGCACATGGCTCACAAATCAGCCTGTTAAAATGTCTACAGAGGCCAGTATGGAGGTCAGTGTGATTCATACAGGCTCTGGTGCCATGAGTTAAACATGAAGAGGGAAGATGAACTTGACAAAGAGAAGAACAGCTTGGATGAACAGTGAGGAGGCTGGGCGAGCTGTCAATAAGGTTTCTTTATTCATCACTTACCAGTTAGATTCAAAGACAGGATTTTAAAATATGGACATTAGTGCCCATGAAAGCCAACACATCATAGCTTTAGGTCTTTTCATCCTCCTCTGCTCCACCCTTGAAGCTGGGGACCTGCCACAGTATCTTAGTCTTCCCTCCACATGTTATGCCTCCACTTGGGTTATAAGAATGCCAGGGACTATCCAGAGTGCTTGTCACCACCATAGGTTGTACGCACATGCATGCAAATGAGCGCTGGCCTCAGCTTCTCTGGATGTATCAGATTTCTCCAAGATAGACGAGCAAATCAATCCTAAGTTTTGACCTTGAGATCTACCTAAAACATCTCTAACACAGAAAGAGGCAAAACTATAGGTTTAATGCCTTAATTCTAGGCCCATGGTCGGCAAACTGTGGCTCATGAGCCACATGTGGCTCTTTGGCCCCTTGAGTGTGGCTCTTCCACAAAATACTATGGCCTGGGCTAGTCTATTTTGAAGAAGTGGCATTAGAAAAAGTTTAAGTTTAAAAAATTTGGCTCTCAAAAGAAATATCAATCATTGTATTGTTGATATTTGGCTCTGTTGACTAATGAGTATGCTGACCACTGTTTTAGGCTGTAGTCTGAATACAGGCTTAACCTGATTCAGCAAAAACTTTGGAAATACCATCCTATGTAAAATACTATATTAGGTACTACAGCGCCTAAATGAAGTTGACGCTTACCAGTAAAGCTCAGTCTCTGTCCTCAAGCCTACAATCTAAGACAAACCTCTACCCAAACAGCTAAAATTCAGTACTGCATAAGTGCCACGAGGCCCCAGTGTGCTTTGTACGTTAGAGGCCAGGGGTCACTTCCAGGGGCGAGGGGGACAGGATGGAAGTGGCATTAGGGTTCATTCACTCAGAAATCATAGCATATTCTGGATTGTGATGATAATGTCCTAATGGAGCTAAAGAAATCACTTTAGTACCTTAAATCAAAACCTCTTCATATGCTGATTCAGAAAAGAACACTAGATTTACAGGGTAAGAAGCTCATTAATAAATTTAAACTGCAGAACCACATTTACTGAGGTGGTAGGCTCTCACAGACCATAAAGAGCTTGGAGGCGGGGGACTGGGGTGGAGGGGGGGGTGATGCCAGAGGTTTTATTCTCCTAAGTTCCATGGTTTCACTATTGCCCGAGGCAGAGGAGCCAGCTGGCTCTGGCAGGCAGGCAGGCACTGTAGGATCATCACCGCACTTTGTAAGTAACAGATCTACCAGTTGCCGAGCACTTATGTCATTAGCCAGCTTCTGTGCCCATTTAGCAGGCTTGCAACTTGTTCTCCTGACAATCCTATGTGTACAGTTTTACCCTCATTTTACAATGGAGAAACCAGTGTGTGGGAGGAAGGGTTTTGTTTTATTTTGTTTTATATTAGCAGTCTGTGTCTATCACCCACTATTCTATCTCAAACTATTCAAAAATTACTCATATGTATATAAATGTAGAGGCCACTCTTGTTTGCAATTTCAGGACTAACTTGAGAGGTAGATGATGCTCTGACATACCTTACAATGGAAGTAATCCTCTATCTTATGCAGAAGGTCATTGAGCTTGTTCAGCCCCTTACAAGGCACCTGGCAGTAGAGTGTGCCATCAGAGCAAATATTAGTCACTCTGACATTTGTGTACATGGCATCAACCTAGAATGAACAAAGGACATGCCAAGGAGGCTTGAGAATAGAGCACAGTTCCTTCCTACCTAAAGGGTGTCTATCTAAAAATCTTCTAAGTTTGCTCAGTGGTTAGAGCATCGGCTTGCGGACTGAAGGATCCCGGGTTCGATTCCAGTCAAGGGCACATGCCCAGGTTGCAGGTTCAACCCCCAGTAGAAGCACTCAGGAGGCAGCCAATCAATGATTCTCTCATCATTAATGTTTCTACCCTTCCCTCCCCCTGCCTTCCTCTCTGAAATCAATAAACACACATGTAGAAATGTTTTAAGTTGGAGGATAAATAGAATAAAATCCATAACTTAAATGTAAAAATTTAGGTACCTCTCTTTCCAAAAAAATATTTGATATCATCTGTATGAGGCACAAAATAGACTTTTTGCATACATTAACTTATTAACACTTTCCATTGTTTGAAAAGCTGAGAATATCCTTCACTTTATTTTCTCTCCATTAATTTAGAAAAAAAATTGTTATATAAAACATATTTTTGCAATATTACAGAAATGGAAATAAGAAACTTTTACCAAATCAATCCCTTTATCACTTACTTTCTAATCTGTGTCCATAGGCCACAATAATTTTATAATTTAAAAAATGTTTAATTCATAGTAGAGGTTTAATTTAGCCATCTTTAGTCAAATCATAATATAAAAATAATTCACTGTTGTTCTACTCATTAAAACAAACATTTTCCCAACATTGCCAAGAAGCCGTTAAAATGGTCATTTTTAACATCTCTTCCTATTCAGTGGCAGTTTTATAATTTATTTATTTATTTTTGTTTGTTTTATGATTTATTTAAAGGTTTTATTCTTTGTGGATATCCATGTTCTTCACATTTTTAAAATGTTAAAGCAATCTATAATAATAAAAGCAAAATATACTAATTAGACCAGATGACCTTCTACGAGGGAAGCCCGGGTTCTAGGTGTCAGAGGGAAGCCGGTGCCGGCAGCCAGGGACAGGAAGGCCTACTCTTGCACAAATTTCATGCACCGGCCTCTGGTACTTTAATAAACATCTTCATTGATTTAATTTTCTTGTCTTTTGTAATATCCTCCCCTATTATATTTGCAAAATAGTTTCATATGAAGTTAATACATACTTATTATAGAAACTGGAACTTAAAACAAAGATCCAATTCCTAATAATTACCATTACGGTTTTGGCATGTTCCTCACTTCCAGCCCCTGTGTCCCTTTTTCTCAATATGTATATAATCTGTCTGTATCCAGTGTTAGCCTAAAATCTACAACATCCTTTCCTGATAACTTCCTTTCCTGTGACACGTGTAACAGACAACATTAGTGGTCACAGTGGTACCTGAAGGTGAACCTCGAGTGACTTGTCACATATTGCCTTTAAGCAGGTGGCATTGATATTGATATCATCTTCTCCTGAGGTGTCGTACAGAATAACAAGCGGAATATCAGCTTTTTCAAGAATTTCCACTGCAAAGATCTTTCCACAAGTTAAAGATTCAACCACCTTCACTAAACCAGGATCATCACTGAGAGCTTCCAACCCTGAAAAACAGTGAATATTTTCATTTCTACTTAATTAGAAGAATCATTTTAAGCAGATAGATGGATTATGTTTTTTTTTTTTTTTTTTTTTAATTTACTTCAGAGAAGAAGGAAAAGGGAGCAAGAGAAAGAAACGTCAATGACAAAAGAAATATCATAGATCAGCTGCCTCCTGCATGCCCCACACTGCAACCCGGGCATGTGCCCTGACTGGAATTGAACCATGACCTCCTGGTTCATAGGTCAAAGCTCAACCACTGAGCCATGCCTGCCAAGCTGGATTGTGTTTGTTTTAAATATTTATTACAGTTATGACTACTAAAAAATTTAAGAATTTTATGGGGAAGCTGTGTTTTACAATCTCATTTAAATAATCACCTTTAGGTTTTAAAATATCTATACTAATAAAACCCAAGTGGCCCTCAAGCCTTCACATTATCACAAGATGGCAGCCACAAGATGGCTGGCAGTGGAGGGAAGTTGGGGGTAAAAAGGCCAGCAGGGAAGGGCAGTTGGGGGGCGATCAGGCCAGCAGAGGAGGGCAGTTGGGGGTGATTGGGCCAGCAGGGGAGGGCAGTTGGGGGCCATCAGGTTGCCAGGGGAGGGCAGTTGGGGGAGACTGGGCTGACAGGGGAGCAGTTAGGCGTTGATCTGGCCAACAGAAGAGTGATTAGGGGGTGATCAGGCAGGCAGGCAGGCGAGTGGTTAAGAGCCAGCAGTCCTGGATTGTGAGAGAGATTGGATGGGGTGCAGGCTGGGCTGAGGGAAACACCCTCCCACCCCCCCCCCCCCAGTGCACGAATTTCATGCACCAGGCCTGTAGTATATTATAACACCTTGAGATGCTTAGCACATTTTAGGATTTAACCACAAAGTACCATGGAAAGAGTTTTCAAAAAACTTCCTCTTACCTGCTAGCTTACACTTTGTAGCTTGGAATGAGAGGGAACAGAACTTTGGGTTCAATTTGTATGCTTTGCTCTTTTCAACATTTTCACTAAATCCATAGTCAACATAGCATACCTAATGATAATAAAAACAATGTTTAGATTCAAGTAAAATTCTTTATCCTCACTTCTTTAAAAAAAATCACTTGATGTACTTAATTGGTTCCATTTTATCCCATGATCACCGTTTCAGTGCGATCACACTGCCTGGGAAATGCCAGGAGAGAAAGGCTGGGGCTGCGACCAGGGAAGCCAGGGCACTGACTTCCAGGCCGCACTCCTCTCCTGCACGTTCCAACGGGAAGAAAACGGAAGCCCGCTGAGCTCTGAGGCTCTGTTGTTGCCATTTCTCGGCAGCACACCCACCTGGGTCTGCCAGCCATGGCGGCCCCACCTTTCATTAATATCACAATGCTTATTCCTTCTTGATTTACATCCTTCCACCAAGGATTTGCATCCGTAGGCAGCACTACTTGTTCCTAGAGCGGGAGTCGCTCTGATCATATTTATCAGATTCTAAATCCCCAAAGGAGCATTTGGGATGGCTGCTCTTGGCTATTATGCTTCCAGGGACTGAGATGCTTTCTGTCGATGACAACAACAATGCCATGGCTGGGTGACACTGAATTCTACATGTAAAAACAAACACTTGCTTGTTTTGTTGTTTTCCGGGTATAAAGCTGGGTCAGGCCTTCATCTAGCTTAGCAAAAGGCCCTAAGTCTGCTGGCCAGAGCTCTGTGTTTGCAGAAATCCACACACTTCCTCACCATTAGAGCAGATCATTAAGAGTCTGGATAGTATTTGTAAAGCATTAACAGAACCTTCCATTGAAAATGACTCTAAAAGCTAAGCCCTTTTTTGGAGAGAAAACATTAAGCTGTGGTTTAAATGATAAATAAGAATCTGAAGGAGACTGGGAGACTGCTCCTCTAGTTAAAGCAGTTGCTTGTTATTACAAAAACAAAATAAAGCAAAACCCAGGGCACAGAGAGACTAAGTGATAGTTTTACTTCCTGCAGCAAATTAATGTTCACAGTTTCTTAGTTCTTAGATTACGGTACTAAACACACAAAACAAAACTTTTTTTCAAGCAGAGAATCAAAGGAAGAAAAAGCTAGAGACCACGTAGGCCTTTCCCTGACCACCTGAGCACGGGATCGGTGGAGCCTGTACATGGCCTATTGGAGAGGACCGTCTCTCAGAGTCCATATCGACTCACTGCTCCCCCGGCCTAGATCTTGGCAGGGGCCCTACTGCAGGCAGCCTGCCATTTCAGCAGACAGGTCCATGTCACCAGTCTCAACTTAGCACCTGTTCCTCCTCCCACAGGCCTCAGGATTCAGGCAGCTCTGTTTCCTTTAATAGCTACCACCACCTCCCACTTGGATTCTGCTCTTCCCAGACCCACAGTGGAGATTAACATGGCCTGACAGTAGAATATAATATGTGATCATCATTCCTAGGAAATTTAGAATATAATCCTATCACCAACAGACTGAGTAATAACTGTTCTACAATCTTCACAAGTTTTCTGTCAGGTTTAGAGCTTGTTTTTCTTTTTTTCTAAACACGGTATCATATATTTGTATGGCAGCTGACGACTATGAAACATTTGCCCATGGGCTGCCCAGATTGACTCTCCACACTGCAGTATTTCTCTCTTTAATGCTCTGGATCAGCACAAACAGGCTCAGAAGCCTATCAGGCCCCAGTCCATTCCTGGTTCTCTGGCACCATCAAGTGGCCAAAGATCTCACAGCACCACCTGAGCAATAAGCAGCAGGCTCCAGAGATGTGGGTCTGGTCAGGCAAACTGGCACCAACCTCATGTACCCGTTTCTCATACTCACCAGTCGTGGAGCCTGTTTATATGTTCATCCAAGTATAAATCACACTGAATTAACAATGCCCATTTAGAGTGTAGTTTGATGGGTTTTGACAAATGTTGATACCACACAATCAAGGTACTAGACCATCTGCCGCTCCAAAGAGTTCTCTTTCTCCTTTGCAATTACCCCCTTCCACCTCCTGTCCCAGGCCACCACTGATCTGAGTTTTACCATACAGGTGAACTTTCCCCGACCTCACCTTCACTAATACAGAATTACTCAGCAGGTGATGCCTTTTTATTGTTGAATAGTATGGCATTGTATGGATAAATATATGTATTTATATATTCACCTGTTGGTGAACATTTGGGTTGTTTCCAGATTAAGACTCTTAATAAGGAAGCTGTTACAAACGTGTGTACAAGCCTTTTTTGTGGACTTATATATCCTCCTGTGTAAATAGTTAAGGTCCATATGGAAAAGGTTTAACTTTTAAGAAACGAGAAACTGCTAGCCAATTTTCAGATTTTAAAAGTTAGGTCATCAAATCGCTTAAAGTTTTATCTCGGTAGATTTGGTTAAAGGATTTCCTAAATTTCTCTGGGAATGGCAAACAGTGGCTGGATGGTCAGGGTCTCTCTTATTGAGCAAACTGGGTAGGAAACAGCCAGCCTGCCTTTCTGACCTCCTGACCCTGTGTTTGAAGGCAGGGTTTCAGGGGAGAGGACCCGATGGACTGAAGCTCGAATTGAGAAGGTAGCTATCTGCACTTAGGGACACAAAGGGATTATTTGCCAGGGGCTGACGCTAGCACAAGGAGCAGTTTTGCTTTTTATGAAATGTATTTGTCCATCGCAGTTAGCATACAACATTACATTAGTTTTAGGAACAGGTTTTATATTATGGGACAGAGACCATAGAAACAGAAGTGTATTTCAATGCTTGTAAAATCGAGACAAAACAGTTTCTTCAGGGCCAGAGTCCTAGTTCTTGGTCTCTGCACTGAGGGAAAGAGGAGGCAATGGGGAAAGGCTGACCACCAGGGCTTCGCCAAGGCTTGGAGTCATAGAGCCTGCTGAGGGGAGAGATTGGTGAAAGGCCCTCGGACCTTCCCAAGATGACCGAGAAGGCAGGCCTCAGGCATGGCCAAGTCCTATCTGGGGTCCTCAGCTGAAGAGGGGACAGGAAGGGTGTGGTCTCCTCTGACCTGTATTGTTTCCCTCGCTTTGAAGTACTGACCTTGACCAGATGCCCTCAGAGCTGTGATCAGTATTTATTCTTTTTCCCGGGCAAGGAGAATAAAGGGCTCTTTCGGATTACATCATGGGTTACAGACACTTCCATGGAGGAGAATATTTTGTGGTTGTTTTTTTCCCTAAAACTTTGAGATAATATAACTACCACTGGCTTAAAAGCTAACAGTGAAAATCTTTTATAGATTATCTTTTCAACCTCTGGAGAAAATAAAACAGTTTATTTACTGTGTCCTAAGGGCACACTATCGGAAGCAGCATTATCTGAAAACTCATGTGCTTGTCTTCAGAACGCTACGGCAAAGTAAACAAGTGCTTGCCTTGATTCTGTTCCCTTCTGTCGAGGTGATCTGGGCCCGTAACCAAGCGTCCTCCTCGGCATGGACAGCCAGCAACTGCCCAACATGCACAGTCTGGACCGGTGTGATCCTCGGGGTCTTACTGTAATACTCCTTCATCTCATCTTCCATTAATTCCTGAGCAGCAGAATAGTCTTTGCCCACATACCTTAGTTAAAGAGGTGAACACAAATGAAGCAACACAGGAGGAGTAATAAGAATTCATTCATATTACTGTTTTTCTGCCTCCATCTTTGGTTCCTGTCTCAGACTTGCTTACATCAACAGGGAGAAGAACATGTATTTAGCAAACAATTATATCTAACAAAGGAAAATGTAATATTGTGGCACTCGTGCATAAAAGAACAAGGTCCAATATACCACACAACAGAACAAAAAATGCTCGAGCACATCCAGTAGCTGGGGCATCTTCAGGAGGACAGGCTGAGGAAAGACTCCAGGGAAGGGAAGAGAGGAAGACACGAATATGGAGGCTCCAGTGGAGGCCAGACAGCAGGAATGGACAGAGATTTTGAGTAAGGCTGCTGGAGAGCTGTGTAGATTGCTGGAAGAGAATATAGTTGATAGTTTTGCCTTAACCAAGGCTGGGTCTAAACAAGGCCCAAGCTCTGAAAACCAGTGGAATTTTAATACAGAAAAACAAAGCTTTAAACACAACCACGTGACAACCCCTCCTCACCGTACTGAACACATTACAACAAAATGTTGAGTTCTGATACCCTTAGAAGGGGTGACATGTTATAGCAAGATGCCTCTGACACTGTGTGCTTCCTGAAAAGTATGTGCTCAGGAGGTGTTCCTATCTCCTTTAATAATTTTCTGCTGCTGACAACTGTAGTCATCTTGTCTCAGTTCATATTACCAAAATATACTATTTCCTTTCTGCCACAACAGGCTGTTGTAGTTTTGCCCTTTAGTTCTCAGAGACAATTCCGCCAAAGGCCTCCTTCCGGAATGCAAAACCTGATGAATCAAGGTGACTCCTGTAACAGGAGATGTCAGCCCCACGAGGAAGGCTTTTCAGCTAGAAGGCTAGGCTACCGCCTGGCCAGGGAGATGGGGAGATGCCGTAAGTAATTCTTTGTATTGTCTTAGCTCTTACCTAGAGTCCAAGTGCTCCTACTGAGCATTAAGATACTATCCCTTTCAGAAGGTTTTCATGTATTCTTATAATTATCACCAGAACAGAAGATACCAGCCATCCTACTCACTACGAGAGGGGGAAAATAGCTTTAAAACATCATACACAATATGGAAAGAATGCTTCTTTTGAGGCAATGGCCATTTTAAAACCATTTGTTACATGCATACTACTGACTCCAGAGACAGCTAAGAGCTCTGCCACACTGTGCATTTACTGAGCTTTAGGAATGTGAAGGCACTGCCTAAAATGCAGCTGCACTCTGGCTCTGAAGTCTCTCTGAGACCTGAAATTCCACCAAGTGCTCATTTCCTGGGACTGGAGTCTCACAGGGCCTCCCTGCAGCGCTGCTCCAGCCCAGGAGCTCACTGGCAGAGAGAGGCCTGAGCAGAGCCCTCGGGCTTAGTTGTCCACCTCGCACAGGCTCCTACCGTGGAGGAGGAAGGTAGTGATGAGCAGTGTATGATCTGCAGGCAGATTCTGCAGCAACCAGTGGAAAAGGATGGGTACACAGCTTGGTGGAGTAAGCGGATAATGTTACAGTTGGTATGACAGTGGTTAGTATCAAGAATGAGGTCTTATATTGTTCCCAAATTACTTGAGCAATTGGGCAAAGGATGTATGGAGGACAATTTAGGTATGCCAGAGTACAAAGATAATTTTTGAGGCTGGAGAGAGCATCCCATACTTGACCTGAGAGTTCTGTTATAGCACCTCTCCAGACCTTTTAAGAGTCACAGGTCTAGCTTTCAGAGCTTACTGCCTTGCCTGAATGAAGATGTGGGTGCATAACAGGTCTCGGCACATCTGGGATCTGCGGTCTTCAGGGCAGTCAACCCCATGGCAGACATTACCCATCTGCTGAAATGTGCAGTGCTAGTTCCAGGATTCAAGCTTACACTGGAAAGGGGCATCTAAATAACCTGAGGACCCTGGGCCGAGTCATCCTGGAATAGATTGAAACCTCCCAACAGAAGTCCTAGAACTGATCCAGATTCCTGCCAATCCTTTCGTAAGGGCAACAGAAATCACATGATTGATCCAATCTAGTGCTGCGTGATTGGCCTCTGACTATGGCACCAAAGACTATTGTCACAGATACCAAAGGATACTGCCAAACAAGCAGATCTAGATTATTTTTTATAATGTCAGATAGTAAAAGCTAGTAATGTGTTTCTCAAATCTTCCTTTACCTTAGTTTATTAGTGAACCAAATGGGACCCATAACTCTTGGCTACCTACTTATTTCTTCAGGCCATTCCACTTCTTAGAATGAAAACTTTATACATTTACTGCCCCTGCATAAAACAGGACTTCTCTAAAGTCTCTGTAAATTCTTCTAATTAGAGCACCCTAAGATACTTGATTCTCATTTCATTATCCATTCAGACTTAGTTTGTTTAACTAGAAGAGCTTTAATTTTTTCTATCTCTCCTTTCTATCTCTTCTTTCACCTATTATATGATTCTCTGGAGGAGTAACAGCCCAAACCATAGGACAATTTTGTTGAAGAAGCCTAGCTTCTGTTCTGCTCTGTCCAGCTACCGCCACAAAAGGCATCTACATAACCTGAGGCCGGGGCTGAGTCACGCTGGAATAGACTGGAACCTCCCTACAGAAGTCGTGGAACTGACCCAGATTCCTGCCAATGTTCTTTGGTAAGAACATCAGAAATCACATGATTGATCCAGCCTAAGGCTGATACCTCCAGAGATCCAGCTACACCAGTTCCATTCTTTTTGTTGTTGTTGTTAATTCTCACCTGAGGATGTATATATTTTTAGCCATTGCTTTTTGTCAGGGCAAGAATGAGAGGGGAGGGGTGAGTGAGAGAGAGAAACATCAATGTGAGAGAAACACATTGATCAGTTGCCTCTGCATGTGTCCCTATTGGGGGCTGGGAAATGAACCAGCAACCCTTCAGTCCATAGGCCAACATGTTCACCACTGAGCAGACGGGCCAGGGCCCAGTTCCCATTCTTTATCCTGAGTCAGAAACCGCAAATTATAGTCTTTCAATATTTTTTATGTATTCTATATTTTCTCCAAAACCCCATGTCAAGTGCCTGGAGCTGGACTGTTTTTTGTATCTCCAGTTATCATTAGCCACTCAGGTAATGACTCCTCCCTCCCAGGCAATGATATCAAGAGCCTCAAAAATCAGAGCATCTTTGGGTCCAAGTTCTAATCTGATGTTTTATACTAGGAGGTGGTGTTTAGCTATTTGGACTTTTAGGAAATGCTACAGAGCTCCAGATGAAATAATATTAACTAGCCAAAACCAGTTTGGCTCAGTGGATAAAGCGTTGGCCTGCGGACTGAAAGATCCTGGGTTCGATTCCGGTCAAGGGCATGTACCTTGGTTGCGGGCACATCCCCAGTAAGGTGTGTGCAAGAGGCAGCTGATAGATGATTCTCTCTCATCGATGTTTCTAACTCTATATCCCTCTCTCTTCCTCTCTGTAAAAAAATCAATAAAATATATATTAAAAAAAAAGAAAGAAATAGTATCAACTACCCAGTGGGCAACTTGCTTTTTCTCTGGACTAGGTATCACTTTTGACATAGTTACCTTTACGCTTTCAACGTAGATTTTTTTTTCAAGTTCATACCATATTATCATTTCAATTTTTAAAACTGTTAGTAATCCTTTCTCTCAAGAATAGTTGTACATTTTGAACATTTGACACATATTAGAATATATGTAGATCTTAAATTTTTTTTTTACCATGTTTGAGGCCAAGCATCTCTGTCTAGCTATGGAAGTGTGCTAGACAGAGATTGTTATGCATCATTTGCTTTAAGCAGAGGGAATGATAATGAATATATATTAATTTTTTAAGTCCTTTGAATTCAAGTTGCTCACCATCTAGTGGGCAAGACAAATATACTAATATAACCATAATGTAGAAGAAATAAAAATTATTCTCCTAAGAGATACAAAAAAGTTCTGGTAGTTGAGAGAAATGTGAAAGATATAAAGAATATATTATACTTTACTATACCTCTATAGAACTTAGACTATATTATTATTTCTCAAATCCCAACACGCACATGAAAAATAAGTAACAACAGTACACGAGGATCCTAACAATTTAGAAAATAAAACTTGCCTTATAACCACTTCATTTGTGTTGCTCAGTTCAACCACCAATACCGACGGGGATGCCTCCGTTGGAATGACCAATGGAGGAACCGTTATATTCTCCAAAATGGTATCGGCACTTTCGACAGCATTCTTTTCTATCTGCAAATATTCTTGTTCAATCATGGACTTGAAAGCATAATCACCGTGTGCGTGCCCTGCATCCTTCAGGGTTTTGTCAGCGGGCAGTGGAAGTTTGGCATAGAGAATGGCCTTCTTGCGATTTCCAGAAATATAGTCTATGGTGCAAACATCAGAAAGCAAGGCAAGATTTTTTAAGGCACCCTCGGGGAATTTTGCTTTGTAGGTGTCCTCAAATGCTTTTGGAAGTGCACTGGCCCAAAGACCATTTGAGTATTTCACCAACAGCTCTGCGACTTTCTTTTTAAAGTCTCCTGGCATGACTGTGGGACACCCTTTTAGTGGTGATACTTGTTTTGGATCAGGTAGTGAAGATGGAGGCACTTTTTCAGAGTCCAGATCACTTCTCAAAAGCTGCTTTCTCTTAGCTGGATAAAGAAGCAAGTCTTGACCACCACTGTAAGGTTTTTCCACCTGAAATTTTTAAAGAAAGCAAATGACAGATAATTCAAATGACTATAAACAATCTGAAAACATAGAAATTCATTTCAAATTTAAGAGCAATACTGTTTTAAAATGAATCAAGAGGACACAAATGTGTACATTTGACTCAACTACAAAGACTTTAATGCATTGCCTTTACCTGCAAATAACACCACTAGACGCATTTCAGAAATAAAATAGCATGAACTTCCCTGGGAGGTATTTGGTCTCCAATAACCCTAGGAAACCATGAGTGGTTCTGCTCTGTATGCTGCATATCTCATTCAGTTCTCTCTGCCAAATCCAAAGCAACAGTTTACAAAACTGACTGAATGCAAGGTGGGACGAAGTTGTGAAGAAGTGTTAGAACTGTCAGAAATAAGCCACTGGGAAGCAGGCTAGGAAATCTTTAGATAAAGCACAAGTACTGTCTCTCCTCTTCCTGCAACAGCCTGAGGAAACATTCAGCTTTCCATCATTTAGAAAAAGATGCTCCAGAGGTAAGGTACTGTTTCCACAGCACCTCAATCCAAGGTTAGCTGAAGTGTTACCCCTCCAGTAAACATGAGTTAAAAATGCCTGGCATTTGTATGTCATCCGATCTAATTCTAGCTGCATAACATTCCTGCATGATGGCATTTCTATAATAAGAGAACAAAGAAAATAAAAACTGGTGTATAGCCTTTTACTGCTAGACCAAAAATTACTGACCCCAACCCAATGCAGCTCATCCCTTGGTTTTGCAAAACCATGATCTAAGAATAAATTTTATATTTTAAATGGTTAAAAAAAATCAAAAGAACTGATGTGAAAATTTCATGATGTGAAAGTTATATGAAATTCAGTATACATGAAATGTTCCTTTTTTGTCAGATCCCATTCAGCTATTCCTTAGCTGCGATTGAAGCCCTTAGGAGAGTGTTCCAGACACAAAGGCAATAATTCAAGCTTGCAAGAAGTCCTCTCTTCCCTAAGAAGAATAGAATATGAAACTATGTGGGGTGAGTAGCCTGACAGTAAAGAATATTTACTTCATTTTTTAAATAAAATGGTGAGGAAGAGAGAACATAGATGTGTATAAGTAAAGAAGGTATTGTCTTGCTACCAAAGACATTTAATCAGTAAAAAACATAGCCAATTTAATATTAAGTTAGAAGATTCCTTTTAGTCTGCATATGTATTCTAGATAATACATGAGGAGGAAGAATATTAATATAAAACATTAGGTTTTCCTCTTCAGATTCTTCTGCCAATGTGTACTGCTTAAATTTTGAAGACTGAAAAAAAAAAAAGTCTTTGCCCCAAAACCCTAAAGCATCGATGGAAGCAGAGGTGTTACCTACGGCACAAGAAAGTTCATGTTTTGCATCTGCAGGCATTCCCCATCATCATCAGTGGACTCCTGCCAACACGCTGTGACACTTCGAATGCTGCCTTAAGTGACAGTCACAACCCATGTCCCTTATGGATACAAATATCTAAAACTCCTCGTTTTGCTCTCAATGGTTAGTCCACCTGTCTAGAGACTCGTGTTTTTAAATCTGGAATCTTAATATGCCAGTCTTCACTATTCTAAAAGTTTAAAGACACCTAATAAGATACAAAAATACAGACTGGGTATCTAGAGATGGTTTGAGAAACATACTTTTGGAGCAAATGAAAGAAATAAAACAATTCTACATGAGTTATTCACTTGTCATATAAAATCCCAATTAATATAAGTTTAGATTTAGGCATGGCAGTCCTACATGTCCAAAGCCAGCTGAGCCTTCTAGGCCCATCATAAAACACTTCTTCAGTCTTCACCTACTAACCTCTTCTCAATCTCAGTGGGTCAATTTATTTGTCTATGGACCCTCACCTCCCAACAGGAGACACAGGTAGGTAACATGAAAGGTTAACTCCCTCTATTATGGAGTTCAAACCATCTCCTTTGGTGGTCACAAGATTCTGGTATCTAATATGCCTTACAGTTTCTATCCCCACAACTTCATTATATTTAGCTTGATTTCTGCCTCATTTGGAATCACAAGTTAAATGAGATTCTTCTGGGTTTCTGTAAGTCTGGGGTAAACACCTTAGATTTGATAGATGTGACTTAAGGATTTAAAACAACCTGTATGTTCACACAAATAAAAGTCTTCACTCACTGTTCCCAGAAACTTTCTTTTCACTAATTCTGAGAGATCTAAATGTCTTCCTTTCCAATTTACATGTGCTTTTAACTTAAAGTTCTTGAAGTAAACTTCCTTTGAGTCCACGAAGACTCACCTGCTAACTTGGCTGCATGGCTCAGGTAAACATCCTGTCTCTTATGGAATTAAGAGTTTTCTTTGGGATTCTAAAGCAGAATTGGTATTAACCCAATTAATCAGAAAGTTTTCCAAAAACAGTTTATGGGTCTACTAAGCCACAGTTTCATTTCCATTGCATAGGGTGCTTTGTGCTGAAACTCTAAATTAAGTTCAAAATTTCATTTTATATGGTCACCACCCAAACTCTGCAGCAGGTACTGATGCTGGTGATATTAAGCCCTAGGTACTTGAAAAGGGTTAGAATTTATTAGCTATTTTTGTTTAAGAAAGTATGACTGTTTATAGCATATAAGAGAGATTTAGTCAAAGGTAAATGTAAAAGTTCCTTGTAGAGGGCAACTCTTGTGTACAAATCATCTTCCCAGAGAAACTCTTTCTCCACTTATAATAATTTTAGATGCTCCTTAAATTTCAAGGCCCATACTCTTTTTCACCCCCAATGCTTTGCCTAGTAAAGACTTTTCACTGATGCTAACTGCAACTATTTGTATTAGGATAAACTTCAAGTCATTTTCTTCCACCGTGGCTCAAGGTTAGGCTCTTGCTCACAGGTTCCTTGAGGACAAAAGGTGCTATGACTAATAACTCAAATCTGAAAGTGGAGGAGGCATTACGAGGGAGGAATAAGGAGAAACGTACCGTGCAAATATGAGGCCAGTGCTCACATTGTTGTAAAATTCCTTGATTAAGTTCTTCTTTATATAACTCTTTGTAAAAATGTGGAAGCTTAGACATCCAAATGCCATTGTTATGCTTGTCTAGCATTTCCTTTATGCGGTTTTGAACCTCATCCATTTTATAAGTGTAAGAGGCAGGAAGTGTGATATTTGGTTTTTCAACAGTCTGATTTAAATTATCTTTAAATTAAAAAAATGATAGAATTAACCAAAATGTTTAATTTAGCTTATTATCTAATGATTGTGTTTTAGGCTTTGTCATACTTCAGGCTTGTGGGGTCTAGGGATTTAAGAGAGAGCAGCATTAGGCAGAGTAGGACCAGGACAACTTCATTCCAAGTTTTAACCATGAAATAACCAGCAGGGTCAACAGCTACCCATAGAGAGAACCTGGTCTCCCCCCCCCCCCCTTTTTTTTTTACAAGGGTACTTCACTTAATTTAAACATCAGAATAATCTTGCTTCATAAAGAATAATGAAATTGCCTGGCCAGTGTGGCTCAATAGTTGAGCGTCAACCCAAGAACCAGGAGGTAGCAGTTTGATTCCTGGTCAGGGCAAATGCCTGGGTTGAGGGCTTGATCCCCAGTAGGGGGCATGCAGGAGACAACCAATCAAAGATATTCTCTCATTGATGTTTCTGTCTCTCTCTCCCTCTCCATTCCTCTCTAAAATCAATAAAAATAAAAAAAAGAATAATGAAACTTATTATTTAGTCATTTTCTAACTGTAACTAAGGAAGGTTACTTTTAGACAATAATGGTTTATAAGCAATACTGAATTTAAAGCTATATTCCATAAGGCATAAGGATAAAGCCTTAATAGAAAGATCAAAAGATATTTTATAAAAAATTAAAGGCCCAATGCACAGAGATTGATGCAAAAATGGGCCTTCCTTCCCCTGGCTGCCAGGACCACCTTCGCTCTGGCCAGAGCTGCCTTTTCCCTCTGGCCTGGAGCTGCCTTTCTGCCTTCCCATGCTGCCCAGAGGCCCAGAGCAGCTGGGGTGGAGCGAAATGCCTGTGTCATCACCATGGCGATGACACAAGCATCCCGTCCTGTGTATGTGTATGCAAATTAACCCACCATCTTTGTTGGGTTAATTTGCATACTCACTCCTAATTGGCTGGTGGGCATCACAAAGGTACAGTTAATTAGCATGTTTCTCTTTTATTAGTGTAGATAATAAGCTGTACAGCTTTTAAGATGTGATCAGTCTTCCCCTTCATTTAAGAGAAAAATAATTTGGCAATACATAAAGTTCAAAAAACAATCCACTTACACTAATCATTCTAGCCTCGGTTTATAAATATAAATGAAAGGTTTGACGCACACAGATAAGTATTGATGGTTTTTTTGTTTCCCCAATTCATATCATTTATCTTTCATAAATAAAGTGTTGACTCTCTTATTCATTTAATTTTTTATCTCACTCATATGTGGAATATAATGACCAACATAATTTGATGAACAAGAATAGATCCAGAGACTAATGGAGGGGGGATTAGAGAGCAATCAAAGGACTTGTATGCATGAATATTAGCATAACCAATGGACACAGACACCGGGGCAGTGGGGGCTTGCCCAGGTGGGATTGGCTAGGGGTGAGGGTGAGGAGTCAACTGGGAAAAAAGAAGACATATGAAAAACTTTAGACAATAATAATAAAAAAATTCTTCATTCTAAAATGAAAATAAATAAATAAAATAAAATGTAGAGTGCCTGAGTTAGTAATATCCTAAGGCATTAAAAAAATTTGAGTGTTCATGATAGTTGATAGTTCTGTTATTTTAGGAACTATGAGATTCATTCCAGATCTTATTTAAATTTCACTGGAATACAGATCAAAGTACTTTAAAAATTACCAACTACAAGCAAAATATATTCACATTTCAATCATATATGATTTCTGCTGGGATTCAACAATCCCCCTTTAAACCGCCTGGTATAGATACACAGGCTAAAGAGGCCAGAATGTCAAAGAGCAAGCTGTTCCTTGAGGATGGCTGGATGCTGACTGCTTTACCCACCACAAGGCGAGAGACCTAGCCTTGCTGAGGCTGTATGGCTCAGCGAATCAAAGGGTTCAGGGTGCCCACCTAAGTTTCCTATTTAAGGCAGAGCTAATTTATTAAGTTCTTCTCAAATAATTATATAAAAAATACCAGAAAAAAGATGAGTTTCTCAGAACTGGCCAGAGAGTGTCAGTAGCTGATGCACAGTTGGAGTCTTTGCAAACACGCCTGCTTTGTGGGCCACCTAATGTTAGACAAATCAAGGAGGTAACCTAGGCTGTCAGCAGGCAGGAGAGGTGTGCACACAAGATACTGATCACCCTCTCACTCATACTAGTAAGAGGGTAAGATTTAATATTCATAAATATGAAACTTAAACTCATAAATAGTTTCAGATACTCTGCCATTTAAAAGCTGGGACCCGCCGCGGTTTGGCTAAGTGGATAGAGCATCAGCCTGCGGACTGAAAGGTCCCAGGTTCGATTCTGGTCAAGGGCATGTACCTTGGTTGGGGGAACATCCCCAGAAGGGGGTGTGCAAGAGGCAGCTGGTCGATGATTCTCTCTCATAGTTGTTTTTAACTCTCTTCCTCTCTGTAAAAAATCAATAAAATATATATTTTTTAAAATAAAAATAAAATAAATTAAAGCTCGGACCCTAAACCATGTGCAATGATCTCTAAGCATCTAAATATGAATATAAACGATTCATCAGGTTATAAACTCCAAAAGGTTGTTAAGAAAACAAAAGATGCCTATCAGCTGCCAGGTGAATTGCAATTTTCCTGAAAAAGTTCCTTTGGTTCTGCAGGAAAGGTTTAAAGATTTAAAAGGACTTACAGCCAGCCAGTCTAAAGGGTATATGACTTTATTGAATATAGTAATCATGTTTCAGGAAATGCAAATGTAAGAGTAATTGACATAAAATAATATTGCTTAATTAATTTCTATAAGAAATACTGGACATGTGCTCTTACAGAAAAAAATGATTTCAACTCAGTAAGAATCACACTTAAAGCAGCATATCCTTTAATTTTCATGCAACATTGAGTGTTATTTCTGAAAACAGTGTGTCCCTCAGGTGGGGCTACAAGCAGGGGATTTACGTCTGGAGACAAGATGAGTGGGTACATTTCTAACCTTCAGATTCTTTGACTTTGTCTCCAACTGTTTTCTTAACAGCCCACTTTGGAATTTATAAGAGAGGAATCATTTATATTCATATTTAAATACTTAGTAGTCACTACATACAGCTTAGGGTCCCAGCTTTCAGATGGCAGAGTATCTGAAATGATTTTATGTGTTTAGGTCCCACATTTATATACTTTAAATCTAACCCATAATGCATGAGAGCGTGACAAGGAACACAAGTATCTATGCAGGTGACACTTGGAATTGAAACAGGTCTAATGTGAGGAAGTCAGGATAATAATGATATCCTTGGAGGTATTATTTTCTCTTTACGTCACTTCAATTCATAACTTAAAGGAATTAAGAAAGAGGGGAGGAGAGATATTCCAAGCAGGAGAAGGTGAGAGCAAATGTCAAAGCCATTACCAGATAGTTTTCTTAGGGCTTTGAGGCTCCAGAAACCAAAATGTATCATGAAGCTAATGTTTAGGGAACGTACCACTCATTTCCTTAGTGCAGGTTCTTGAGAGATGTATCTGTAAAGGTGGTGGAAGGGATGCTTTTGGGCTATACCTAAGGTATAAAGAAAGTGAATTAAAATTAAAATAGCAGAGTTAATACCAAGTTTTAAACATTATCCTTTTCATTAAAGTCTCTGTGGCATTGAACATACAACAATTATTTTATATTTTAAATATTTCATTAAATTTCATTATATTTAAATATTTCATTAAAATATTTCACAATAAACTGAAATGAAAGTATATCTGATTTCAGCTTTCATGTTTCATATTCACCCAAAGAAAATGTGTTAAAAGCTAAATTTAAACTAGGACTATAAAAAACTTGGAAGTCAGAGTTCCAATAAATCATTTTTAAGGAACAAACAATACAAAATAATTATTAAAAACATGCAAAGAATGAACAGTTGAACATAAAGACTATTTTTGGAATATAACTAAAAACTGAAAGACTTGCATCACCAGATATTGAAATGCATAATGAAGTTACAAAAATAGTTGAACAGATAGGTAAAATTGTAGAGAGCTTAGAAACACTCAATTTACATTATATCTTAGCATACGATAATAGTGGCATTTCAAACCAGAGAGAGGATTGCTCGAATAAGCACCTAGGAAAAAATAAACAAAGATTTCCCACCTCATGCACTTACTAAAATAATTTTATATGAAATATAATCAATATATGTAGCAAGATTTTTTTCCCCAAATATTAGGACAAAGAAATAAGTCACACACACACAGATTGCAATAATTTGTGTTCATTTCTGACTCCCTCACTAAGACTCTAAGTGTCTTTACCTGTGTTCCCAGTGCCTAGGGCAATGCTTGGTACATGTAAGGAAGAGTGAATGTTGTAGGAATGAATAGAATGCTATAGAATTTGTAGTTGACTTTTTTTCTTTTCTTTCAGCACTAGAAAAATGTTATTTTCTTCATCCATGGTTGCAGATGAGAAATCCACTGTCATTAAAACCGGTATTCCCCTATGGGTGATGTGTCATTTCTCTCTGGTTCTTTTAAAGATTTTGTATTTGTCTTTAATTTTCAGAAGTTTAATGATGGGTGTCTCGGTGTCTCTTTAGATTCATCCTGTTTGTAATTCTCTAAGCTTCTTAAATCTATATACTTTTATGTTCTTAGCCAAATTCGAGATATTTTCAACAACTATGTCTTCAAATCCTCATTGAAGCCCCACTCACTCTTCTTTTTCTGAGACTGATAGTACAAACATTAGGTCTTTCTCCTTTCCCCCCGAGGCCTCTAAGGCTCTGCTAGCTTTTTCTCCCCACAGGCTCCTCAGGCTTTGCTAGTTGGTTTTTTGGTTTGGGTTTAGTTTGATTTTTTTGAGGTCTGTTTACTCTGCTGTTAGACTGGGAAATTTCTATTGTTCTATCTTCAAGTTTATGGGTTCTTTCTTGTGTCATATTCATTCTGCTACTGTGCTTATCCAGCGCATTTTTTATTTTGATGTTGCATTTTAAGTACTATAGTTTCCATTTGGTTCTTTTTATTATGTTCTATTTCTTTAATGAATTTTCTATTTTTCTTCCCCCTCAAATAATATTGGCAATTGCTCATGGAAACACTTTTATTACAGCTGCCTTAAAATCTTTGTCACACGCCGAAACCGGTTTGGCTCCGCGGTAGAGCGTCGGTCTGCGGACTGAAAGGTCCCAGGTTCGATTCCGGTCAAGGGCATGTACATTGGTTGTGGGCACATCCCCAGTAGGGGGTGTGTAGGAGGCAGCTGGTCGATGTTTCTCTCTCATAGACGTTTCTAGCTCTCTATCCCTCTCCCTTCCTCTCTGTAAGAAAAATCAATAAAATATATATATTTTTAAAAATCTTTGTTATACAATTCTAACATCTGATTTATCTTGGTGTTGATGCCTGTTGATTATCTATTCTCATTCAAGATGTCATTTGCCTGATTCTTAGTACAATGAGTGATTTTTTTTCCTTGTTGTATCCTGGACATTAGGACACATGTTAGGAGACTTTGGATCCTATTTAAATATCCTATTTTAGCAGGCGGTTACCCTGTTTAGGTTTAGCACAGTTCTCCTGGCCCACTTCTGCAGGCAGTGGTTCCATTGATAATTTAGTTTTCAGGGCCCTTATGGTACTATTCTGCTCTGGTACATTCACCTGTTGCTGCTGAGACTCCTGTTTGATCTGCAAGTGCTGTCCATGGGAGCAGAATGCACTTCCCTGGGTCTGGTGCTGCTAGGTGGGAGGGGCAGAAGCACACTACGCTGCAGGTCAGAGAGCACCAACTTGGGTCCACTATTTAGGCTGCTGGTGGGCCTCCCATTCAATCATTGCTGGTGTTACCTGGAGCTGGACGGCACATAGCTGGGCACCCAGTGCCACTAGGACACACCAGATCATGGGGTGGAGAATGCTCCTCAGACCCCATAATCAACGATGCCTGATTTTGCTATCATTTTATAGATTCAATTTAAAAATGGAACTGAATTTAGGCATGCAACCAGGGGAAAGAATCATACCTCAGCCACATACTGAACCCAAATAATGCTTTGGGTCAAGATCCAAGTTTTAACTATGTATTTTCTAGATCTTATCAAAATTATAATAACCATAAACAACATTAAATATACACCATTATGGCAAATATTTAAGGGTTACTTTATGAAAAACGCAAACATATAAAAAATTAAAACCCTTTGACCTAACTTAAAAAAATTAATTTTTTCTAAATATTCTAGTATTAGGGTGGGAAAGTGCCTTTGTGGAGGGAAACTAATGTTTACACAAAATGGGATTTTTGAACACTTGATTAAAGAAATTTGACACAAAATTTGTTTTATAAAGGCACAAATAGATGCAAGAAGGTAATACTGACTCATCTATATCAGGAGTTGGCAAACTTTTTCTGTAAAAGGTCCTATGGTACATATTTTAGGCTTTGCAAAAATAAGCCCAGACAATACAGAAGCAATGGGATGTAGCTGTGTTTCTATATTATTTACAGAAAACAGGATTTGGCCTATGGATTGTAGTTTGCTGACCTGAGTGATCTTATAAAACCTTAACATTCAGAACCAGAAAGGAAATTTGAGATTGCCTAGTTAACATTTTCACTGGACAAATGAGGATACCACAGCCCCAAAAGATCAAAATGATTTCACTAACTTCCCTTGGCTTGTGAATGGCAGCATCAAGCTCAGACTTTAAAGCTGTGTTATTATTGCCAATCCAGTATTCTGATGCATGGATATACTATGCAACTGTATAATTATGGATTAATTTCTGGAACACAGTCTAATGTGCAAGTCAACAGATTTTATTTAAAATTTACAAAATGTATTCTAAGAAAGGTTCTCAGAAAAAGTTTTAAGTTATACTTAAATGGCATCTTAAAACAATTTGTGAGAGCCTTTAAAATGAATTTCACAAAGAGGGATTGCAAAAAATGTGAGGAAAATACAGAATGGAGGTATTCAGAGAAATATATTCATGCAGCCATGAAAAGTGGGTTTACAAACAATGATGCTACGTACAAACAAACTTACAATAGACAAAACAAAGTATATACATTTCTAACATTTATTATCCTAGGTTCACTAAACTTCTTTTAGTCTGACAAGGAAGGAACCAATACCTGTTGTTGGTAGACATGGTCACATGCCTCTCCATGGGAACACTTCGGAATACTTCACTTCCAACATGTGTGTGTTCTGTGTAAGGTGGTAATTCAGCATTAGACTTGACTCCAAGATAGTTTCCTCTGTCTCTTGACAGAGCTGCATTAGGCTTTCTGCTGATGGAAAAATCTGAAGAAAATCCTGGTTGTCTGAGAGTTGCTTTTGGTTTTCCTATGAAGTCAGACATACAGAATGGAATCATTTAGCTTCCCAAGACCCTCGTTTCATTATGGCGCCCCCCTGTCTAGATGTGCTCTACAGGCCTCTATCCTCAGAGCAGTATGTAAGGACGGGAGGAAGTTGCCACCTGAGCGTTGGTCAGTAGAGAAAGAGTAGATTGGTGAGTATTTAGCAGATGAGGTTCTTCAAAATATGATTTCATCTACCTGACTAGCTAGTTACTTTCCCTTTACTTACCAACTAACACTTTAGTAGCAACCATCTCATGTTCTTACAAACGTACCACACTCCCCCATATTTCAGTCCTTCATCCCCTCTCCATCAATTTAAACTCTTTCCATCACTTGAAGCCTGGGTTCAAGACTTCTCTTCAATATGAAGCCCTCCATAGTCATTTTCACGAAAACCGCTTGTTGTGACATTCAGGTATCTACTCTTTTTAAAACTGAACTTATTGGGGTGACATTGCTTAATAAAACCATACAAGTTTCAAGTGTACACCTCAATAAAACATCATCTGCACACTGCATCTTGCAACCATCACCCCAAGCAAAGTCTTCATCTGTCCCCAGCTTTCCTCACTTTGCCACCTCCACCTACCTCCCAGCCCTTTCCCTCTGGCTATCATCACCTGCTGGCAGTGTCTATTGTCATATATGTCTATAGGGGATTTTTGTTTAATCCCTCTTCCTCCTTTCACCTATGCTTTTGTATTCTCACTGAGCTATTTCTTGAGAATTTAGTTTTAGAACTGATTATAAGTTCCTCAAAATGAGTATTCAATAAACACAGGCTGAGCTGCCCATATAATATGATATCTCTGTCTACCATATAATTCATATTAAAAAAAGATTTTATATTAAAAGGCATGATTTGAGAAATAACACATTAAATCACAGGTTCTTGGTTCATCCAACATACTGGATAAAGCTTTCCCTCAATAATCTAAAAGAATAACACCACATTTTGCTATACGCTTAAAATGTACTCTCTGTTATCTCACACTGAGTAATTACTTCATTTAGAAAGTCATGCTCATCATGTTCACTTAATTTCAAATGAAAATATTAGCTTCAGAATTTCACCCTTGACATATAAATGTTAACAAATATAAGTTTATTATGAATATAAGTAATATTCCCAGAATTGCATATGTCAGTGTATTCATAAACAGGCTTAAAATTTTTATCATGTGAAAAAGACCGTACCTTCTAGAAAAAACGGCATGGTTTTCTTTACTCTCATCTGACAATTAACTTGCCGCCCAGTCTTTCTTTTAGAGCTCCTCTGACGAGCCACAAGCTGAGCAATTCTTGCAGTTTCTGTGCAGGCCACAGCATAACAGGTAGTCTGTTCGTAAGAGGCAAAGTGGGAGGAGAAACAATTCTCAGACACACTGGTGCCTAGAGGCCATATTTTTAAAAAAAATATTTTTATTGATTTCAGAGAGGAACAGAGAGGGAGAGATAGACAGAAACATCAATGATGAGAGAGAATTGATTTGCTGCCTCCTGCATGCCCCCTACTGTGGATCGAGCCCGAAACCTGGACATGTGCCCTTGACCAGAATTGAACCTGGACCCTTCAGTTCGCAGGCCGATGCTCTACCCACTTAGCTGAACCACCGAGGGCTAGAGGCCAATTTTTATTTTTATTTATTTATTTATTTATTTAATATATTTTATTGATTTTTACAGAGAGGAAGGGAGATAGAGAGCTAGAAACGTTGATGAGAGAGAAACATTGACCAGCTGCCTCTTGCACACCCCCTACTGGGGATGTGCCCGCAACCAACGTACATGCCCCTGACTGGAATCGAACCCGGGACCTTTCAGTCCGCAGACCGACGCTCTACCACTGAGCCAAACCGGTTTCGGCTAGAGGCCAATTTTTAAAAGTAGGTCTCAGTGAGTTCATATGTCCCAAATCAAGCTGTATGCAAATATGCATATCACTCTCTTCTTGATCACATTGGAGCAAAATTATATTTTCTACATAGAAGTCAAGTACAGTCTAACATACTGAATAATCTACCTTGGTTAAATTCAAAATTTCATTTATTCTTAAATAGGTATTTATGAAGTATCTACAATGTGCTAGGTACTATGGGAATAACAAGTGAACCAAAAGAAACCTGTGATCTAGACATATTATCTAACATAATCTGTGAGATATATTTTATTCCATTTAATACAACGGGAAAACAGAGGCTCAGGAAAGTTAGCAACTCACCTAAGCCACACAGCTAGGCTATCTGAATCCAAAGTAGGCACTCATACCTGCTATGTTGCATTACCTTTCAAAGACCACTAAATCCTAGTCTTGCCACTGCAAAGGTTAGCTGGGTGATTTAGGGCAAATCAGTTAACCTCCCAATCTCAGAATGTGCAGCTGTAAAAAAGGGTTTTACAGGGCTTAGATTTGGGGTTTTCAAGTATTCCATGGAGCCATTGGATTCCATGGAGTTGCCTCAGGGGCCTCACAGTGGCAAAGTGTGAAGGTTAGGAAGGCCAGGACCCTCTGCTCTTGCTTAAAACAGCAGCTCAGCTTTTTACCTAAAACACACACACACACAAACTTGTGCAACATATAGGATATTTGGAAAAAATATTTGACAAAAGTATGTAACTATTAGAATCAGATGATCTTTTAAAGCCCCATTTAGTATGTTAAGTCCTGGATTCCAAGTTGAACTCCAGAACGGGAAAGCAAACATCAGCCAAAGCATGTTCCTACTCTTTGGCCCAGTATTTCTAAATTTGAAAATATGTTAAGAAAAAAAATTACATACCCAAATATGTGCAATAGGGCCTATTCTACCAGTCAAAAGCTGGAAACATTAAAAATGTCCAAAATAGGGAAGTAAAAGAGTAAATTATAGCTTAGTAACTCTATAAAGCATTATTACTTTATTAATTCATTCAGACATTTAATAATTCATACATTCAACATTCATTAAGCACCAACTATTAGGGATGAAAAAATCTCTCATCCTAAAGAAACTGATGAATGAAAGAGAGAAGGGCAAAAAGACTAAACAGAAAACACTGTGTCAAGTAGGATATTGGATGTATTACAAGGTGCCAAGTGGACAGAAAAGATGGCTTAAATCTGTCTAGGAGAATCAAAGATGCTGAAGAAAGTTTTATTATTAATATATTTAATTTATTGCTGCTCCTTTTAAACATTATTAAAGATTAGGTGAACCTCCCTTTGACCACTGCTGATCCTGGGACCCTATCCCCCCCTCTACCCACTGCCTCTCCCGTGCACTGCAAACAGAGGAACAAATATAATAAGTTTTGGGAAGAAATACTTCATACTTGTTCCATGTACTTACACTTACAGAAATGTACCCAGAAAATGTACTGTTTTGGGGGACTGGTGTTTTTGCCTGTCTCTTGGGTGATGGTTTGTCTATATCTTCCACACCGTGCATTGGGCAGATACCAAGAAGTGAAACTGCTGGGTGACAAGGGTACGCACAAGAAAAAACTTACTTGCTACTAACAAATTGCCCATGTTATACATAAAATACTCTTCCAGAGAATATAAATATGAATACATAATATTATTCTAGAGAAACTAAAGGATTTGAGTTATGGAATAATATAATCACATTGCGTGAAGGCAAGACCAGGCGAGAGAGAGAAAGGACTAAAGACAGGGAGAACGGGTGGGAGGGCCCTGTAATAATCAAATGCTAAATGATCAATGAGGGATTGAACTGGGGTCCAGATAGTAGGGATAGATATGAGTGAAGTCAAATGTTGAGAGTTTAAAAGCATCTGTTAGTTTGGCAATCAGGAGGTCAATGACCTGGGAAAACAGTTGTTGCAGGTTCATAATGGGTGGGTGTGACATTTAGGCACTTAAGACTTCCAGTACAGTTACTTTGGATGTTAAGACTGAATGAACTTTAATTTTAAAATTTCTTATTTAATATGGTTAATATCTTATTTTTACAACAAAAGAATTTGAGGGGTTAACCAAAATAATCAGAATCTAGACTGTGCTTTTTTAAAAATTCTCACCCGAGGATATATTTTTTTAAAAAGAGAGGAGGAAGGGGGGAAGGAGGGAGAGAAAAAACTGAACACATCCTGAACGGGAATCAAACCTGCAACCTAAGTTTGTGCCCTGACCAGAAATTGAACCCACAACCTTTTGCTGTATGGGATGACGCTTCAACCAACTGAGCCACCCGGCCAAGGCTTAGCTAGCACTTTTCATTTTGACTGCTATCACAGGTGAGACTGAAGGTGCCAAAGAGGAAATGAAGAACTGGTGTGACTTTTCCGACATGCACAAGAACCCCCTTACCTCACCAGATCTACTGGTCTCTATCCTGACCACAGCCGGCACACTTCTCAGATAGGCTTCTAGTGACGGGTAACCTAACTGCTTGAAGGGGATCCAGTCTCCAGTCAAGGATTTGTACTCTCCTTGTAGCCGAGGCAATGCTATTCCATTCTTATGAGACTGTAGAACAGCTCGTAGCATTTTTGAAACCAGATCTGCTTCCAGCATCTTCACCTATAAGAGCACAGTGCAAGATTACTGTGAGATGATGCATTAGCCTGTGAATTCAAGTAGATTTTCAGAGTTTACATTTGTTAGACTATTCGATAAATTGTTACTGGATACTTTCTGTGCTATTACAATAAAGAGCAATAACTGTGATGGTAGAGAAAAGCACAGACTGTTAGGAGGACACAGGAAGTCAGAAAGCCACAAGGACTCGCTTGTGAAGGGAAGAAATGAGGGAATGTTTTCCAGATGAGGGGAAGGCCCGAATGGAAGCCTACTTATAATGACAGTGACGGGTAACCTAACTGTTTGAAGGGGATCTAGTCTCCAGTCAAGGATTTGTACTCTTGTTGCAGTTGAGGCAATGCTATTCCATTCTTATGAGACTGTAGAACAGCTCGTAGCATTATTTTGGGGTTGACGCTACGATCTGTTCTAAGATGGAATCAGCTAGACAAAGAGGAAAAGGGTGTGTGTGAAGGGGGTATGGGGGGGTGGTGGCAGAGGATGGAGAGGTATCAGGCCCAAGTAAAGGAAACATAAAGTGCAAAAGGCACAGTGTGAGAGAGAAGTTCATGGTTGTTCTGAGAATTCCGGTAGTTAAGTGTCTGGACATGATTGAACAAAGACTCCAAGCTAAGTCAGGGCTAAAAGATAAGGATGGAAGAGGCAGACCCAGAAGAGTCTATCATATTATGTTAATATGTTTGCATTTTTGCCGAAAGTAATGTGGGACCTTGGAGAGGTTTTAAATAGGGGAATAAAATGATTAGTTCTGCATTTTAGGAATATCACTATTCTGTAGTGGGGAAGATAAATTAGAAGAAGAAAGATTAATGACTTGTAAGAATACTTAGAAATGTGGATGACCTGAAAACAGGGCTTTGGGAATCAGCAAAATGTCAATTTGAGAGGTTTACGAGGTGAAGTCAACAGAAATTCATTAGTTGGTTTGGATGATGAGGGAATTTCCAAATTCCTATTTTAAAAGCTTGGTGCATAGTAATGACCCACACTGAGGTGAGGTAGATCTGCAAAATAAAGTAATAGAATTAATTTTGGACATAGGAGTTTGGGATGCTCACAAGGCAGCCACACAGATATACTTACTAGGAATTTAAGTTAGATGTCTGAGCTGGTTATAGATTGCTGGCCTTCAGCATATACGTGGTATTTCATAACTAGGGAGTCAAAAACAAAGTTAAAGATGGACCTTTGTGAAAGGCTGTCATTTAAGGAGTAGGCAAGGAAGAAGAATAGTATAAAAGGCTGAGGAAAAGGGACCAGAGAAATAGAAGTAGAAAAGACAGAGTGACATTGTCATATAAACAAAAAGAGGAAAGAACCAAGAAGAATGGCATGTTCAAAAGTGTCATCTACAGCTGCCAAGTAAGAGAGAGAAAAGCAAAGCGACTGCTGAATTTTGGTACCTAGGAAATCTATGAGGACCTTGGCTAAGACTTTTCATTGATCAGCAACAGGCATGTTTCAAAATTAACCACTCCAATTTTCTTTACACTAGTGGTAAATAGAATGAAGATAGATTAGGAGAATGACAATTTAAACAGCCAAGAAAAGTGGGAAGCATTAAAGGAAGCAGAAAGGTAAGCCATGGACAACTTGTTATATTTTCTTTCAACAGTGCTATCCAATAGAATTTTCTGTGATGATGAAAATGTCTTATATCTGTGCAGTCCAATATGGTAACCAATAGCCACATGAACTACTAGACCATTGAAGTGTGGCCAACATGACTGAAGAACTGTATTTTAATTTAATTTAAATTAAATATAGTTGTTAGATACCATATTGAACAGCAGAGAATTCTGTCAATTTCCTCATTTATCCTTTTGAAAAAGGAGACAAAATATTAGCTCAAGTGTGGGTCCTTTTAATTATAAATATAATACTCAAATGATAGCAAGGTTTAAGTGACAAATATTTAGACCTAAGTATTCTTCTTGTGCCTTCTTGCACTTAACATTAACTTTTTTTAAATTGTCACCACCAGCACCAACAACATTTAATTAATACTGTAGTCTCTGAAAGTCCTATATTAGGTCTAAATTCCTATACTCTCTGTAGATAGATAAATAGACACATACACACAAATATGTATGTGTGTGTGTGTGTGTGTATATATATATATATATATATATATATATATATATATATATCTTCATTTAGGTATAATTTACATACAATAAAATTCACTCATCTTATGTGTACACTTGTTGAGTTTTGAAAAATATACACACTCATGCAATCATTACCACAATCAAGATATAGACATTTCCATCACCAAAAAGTTCCCTCCTGTGAAGTGCATACTTATGTAAAAATAAAATGTACAACAACAATAGCACAAAGACTGAGAGAAACTGGAAGTAAACCATTAGAAAGTCCTTATACTGTACATGAAATAGCAAAATATTATTTGAAAGTGGAATGTGATAAAAACATAAATTGTAAACACTATGGCAACCACTAAATATTTTTAAGGCAGTATAACTAATAAGCCAGTAGTAAAGATAAAAATAGAATAAAAAATTCAATCAAAAAGCAGGCAGGCAGAAGTATAAAAGAAACTTAGGAAGGAAATAATAAAGATTAGAGAAAAAAAATAATAACAACAACAAAAAATAGACAGGACAATTAGAAAACAGCAAGCAGAATAGATTTAAAACCAACCATACCAACAATTATATTAAAGGTAAATGACCAAAATATTTCAATACAAAGTTACAGATTGGCAGAGTGGATGTAAAAGCAGGACTTACCAAATATTATCTCAAAGAAACCTATTTTAAATATAAATACATGGATTACAAGTAAAAAGATATTCCATACTAATACATAACTATATTGTATATCAGAACAAGGAATATTGGCAGGGACAAAGACAGACATTATATCATAATTAAGAAGTTAATTCAACAGAACGACGTAACAATCCTAAGTGAGACTGCCCCTGACATCAACTTCAAAACACATGAAGCAAAATCAATAGAACTGAAAGAATAAACAGACTCATAGTTATTGGTAATTGGTACAACCACTAAACAATAAAAAAAAATCAATATGGATATAGAAGAGCTCAACAACACTATTGACCAAACTAATCTGCTATTTATAGAATACTCCCCTCCAACAACAGAATATACATTCTTTTCAAGAGCACACAGTACATTCACCAAGATGGAATATATTCTGAAACTTAAAACAATCCATGACCAATCTATAATAACTAAAATTACACAAAGAGTGCACTATGACGAGAACAAAATTATATTAGGTACCAGTGACATTAATATATGTATTGGCAAATTTAATGACAAACTTCTAAATAACCAATGATCAAAGGGAAAGCTCCTCAAAAATCAGAAGATTTTTAAATAAATGAAAACACAGCCAAAACCGGTTTGGCTCAATGGATAGAGCGTCGGCTTGGGGACTGAAAGGTCCCGGGTTCGATTCCGGTCATGTACCTTGGTTGCGGGTATATCCCCAGTAGGGGGTGTGCAAGAGGCAGCTGTTTCTAACTCTCTATCTCTCTCCCTCTCTGTACAAAATCAATAAAAAATATTTTTAAAAAAAAGAAAAAAGAAAACACAATATATAGAAATTTACTGGTTGCAGTTATAGCAGCATTTAGAGGCAAATTTGAAGCATTATATGGTCATGTTAGAAAAGAAGATCCCAAATCAGTGATCTAATCTACAACTTTGAGAAAAAAAAGAGAGCAAATAATAGCAAAAGTAAGTAGAAAGAAGGAAATCATAAAAATGAGAACAAAATAAATATTAAGATTATGAAACAGGTCTATAACGAAGACAAAACTAGTATCTTGAGAACATCAATAAAATGGATAAACTTCCAGGCTAATTATTAAGGAAACCACACACATTACTAATAATATGATTGCAAAGGGGACATCAATTCATCAGGAAGACATAACAATCCTCAGCACTTACCACCATCATCAAATACTTTACTGAATTTTACTGGCTGTCTCCCCAACTTGAATGCTAAGGTTTGTGAAAGCAGGGATTTTAAGGTTTGGTTGCTGCTGAATGCCTCCTGCCCAGGCCACAAGAGGAGCTCAATAAACACTGAATGACTGAATGAGAAAGTCTCTATCTACCTAACACCACTGCTTTTCTCTCTTACTCACTAAAATACATGCATGTGGACTATTAAAGGAATAATATTTATTTTAAAAATTATTTGCAGGGGGGAAAAGAGAAAAAATTATTTGCAAATTTTAATGACTGTTATTTAATATAATAATATTAAATATTATTAATATTTAATTGACTGAGACAGCCAATTGTGTCACCAAGCGGTCATTGAGAACCATTTTGAGAACCATCAGGTGGATGAATTCTGTGCCTTGCTACTCCGAGCCAGTGTTCTCATAGGCAGGCCCAGGTCAAGGCCACCGCAGACTGCAGAGTCTATACATTCCGATGAGCAGTGAGCACTGCTTGAATACTGGTGTCTCACACATATTCCTGTTTTTCCAACAGTGTGCAGACACCATTGGGATTCACAAACCCAAATTGATATTGAATGCACAACAGCTTTGAGTAGTGATGTATTTTATCAACCAATAGACACTTAGATGTACAATCACTATTTTTTCACCATTTTTTACAAAGCTAACAAAAAGAACCTTGTACTTAAGACTGGAAAGCAATGCTTGACCACAAGAAGGCAATCTGAATTAAGAACCCTTCCACTCTCCCCCCCCCCCCCCCCCCACACCGTGACTTTTAAAACATATGCTATTTTCATGGAATACTGTAATTCTCTATTTGCATACAACTTTTGGAGGGAAGAACAGTTCCTTAGACTATAAGACTGAGGATCCCAAAGCTGGTGAGAAGCAGTTAAGCACAGCAAAACCTGGAACAGCAGGTGTGACTGTATGTCTTATTCAGATGTATACCTTGTTCTCATGCTTTGCAATCTGGTTTGCAATTCCCACATTAGCAATATCACTTTAGGCATTAAACAAAAGGAGAGGCACTAAAGCTTTTAAAAAATCATTATCATTTTCTGATCTACTATATTGCTTCAAAATGCTCTAAGTTTTGTTAATTCCTTTGTTATCATGGCGTATTTTGAGATTTCCTGAAGATGGCAACTATACTTGAGAACTTTTATAAAAGGTGTAGTATATGAGAATACTTTCCCCTAACTATAAAAATCAAGATTACCATCTTGAATGTCATCTATTAGAAACAAAAAGGAAGTTTATCATGGAAATTTCAACTCTTAGTGTCTCAATGGCAAACCTTAGGCATCCCTCCAAAAATTAAGTTTGAAGTTTCTCTAAAGTGGCTTCCCAAAATTCTAAAGTTGCCAAATTGATCTTTCAAATCTCTTCCCTATTATTTCTATTCTCTAAAAGTGTTGTAATAAATACAGCTTAGAGTTTCAGAGAATTCAACTTACTTAGATTTTAGGAATGTTATGCAAGGCTTGGTGGACTATAAGGTAGGCTAGGCTGGGAGAAATAAGGTTGGGCATCTCTGTTTTAGCCCACAGGTTCTCAAATTAAAATCCTTAAGGGTTTCCCTAGACAACAAAGGGGTTTAAGAGAGCTGTTTCAGCTGAATAAGAATCCTCAACAACAGAGCAAAGTAGAGGTGGGTCTGGAGAATTAATCAGAGTATTTTTTATTTCAAAAACTGACCAAGGTCAGCTGGCAAAGACCACAGCCAAGAAGGAAGAAACTGGCCACAACAGATCACTACATATTGCACTTGACTTTCGCTTCCTTTCTCTTACTCTTTTTCCTCCTCCTTTCTTTGCTTCTCTTTCTGAATGACTCGTTCACAAGTAGAGTTACATGTGCTTACCACAATACTTGGCTTTAGTAGTTACTTAATTAAAAACATTTCCCTAGAAGCATGGTGTGGATGGGAAACTACCTATCAATATATGGCCAAGAGTGCAATGGTATAAGCATTGGCATACAACGAACAGGAAAGCTTGGTAAGAACATCATGGATCTCCTCCAACATCATCTCTCATCTAAACCAAGGCAAAAAGTCACTTACTGCTTTGGCACATGGCCTCTCGGAGAGATCCCCTGCCAGACACAACCCCACAATGTCCCTAGGAGTGTGGATCTTAATCCTATTTATGCTACTTATCAGCTGTAACCTTGTGAGCAAATCATTTCGGGTCTCTTTTTTCACGAAAAAGATAAGGAAGGTGGACAAGAACCATGACTCTCAACCTTCCTCGAAGTCCTTAGAGCTCTAAAATGGACTCCAAAGGCCTAATGGGAACTATAGATCTGTTTCCCCTGACAAAGTTGCATGACTAAAATACTGAGTTCACTTTGGGGTCACACTGGGTAACTTGTGCTGATAAGAAGCTCTTATTGGCAAATTTACACACACAAAAATCTTTAGCTAAAAATGATTTTTTAAAAACAGCTTGTTTGAAAGGCAGAACTTAAAAAAAAAAAAAAAAGTGGCCAATGAGGAAATAATAAAAAGAAAGCACTAAGTTGGAGTAACTGGTGGAGAGAGTAGGTTTTACATAAAGAAAGAAAAACCAATTCACACAAAAATGCAATTAGATTTCATTCCACGCACCAGGGCGTTTCTGTCCTTCCTGCATTTATCTGCTGACCCTGAAAGTGCCCAGAAGCAAACCACTCACTCTATGTCAAATGTCAATTTTTGAGAACAGAACTTGATCAAACACAGATTAGGCACTTAAGAGTTGGATTACTAAATGTTTTTCCTTTACATTCAAACTAAGTCTCTAACTAGATTTATTGCATGGAGAACATAAAGAGAGGTCCTTCAGGAAGTTTAAATCTCTTGGTACAAACTACAATAGCTCATTCAGCCACATTCAACCAGTACACTTAAAAGGGCATTAGCAGGGATCACATTTCATTTCCAGTCTACAGGGACTGAAACCCGAAAACACCGCCAACCGCTGCCTCAAGTTAACTAGGGAGCTGTGTGCCACCAAAGGGTCTTGTACCAGGCACAGGAGCTGAGGGTTCTAATCCCGCTGGGCCCCTGAGCAACTCCCTGCACCCAGCACAGTACTTTCCACGTAACTGATGCTCAATCAATGTCAGTTGAGTGGAACTGCAAAAATCTCCACCACCCGCCACTTTATATTGCATAGAGGATTTAAAGATGTGTCCCTGCTTCCAAGATATTGAAATCCACTTATGGAAATGATGGGAAGTAGGCTGGTTGTCAGCATTTCCTGACTAGTTACTACAAGTCAAAGAACTTACAATAGTTATCTCATAAAAGCTGTGCAGACTAAGTCAAATATTTCCATCTAATAACTAGAAAACCAGGCTCAACGGAAGTATGTAATCTGTTCAAGATCACAGTTAGTAAGAGAAGCCCAGACAGATTCCAATCCAGGTCTGCAAAGGCCACAGTATGCAACACCTACACACCAAGGCAGCCCATCAAAGCAGCTCCGGGTGAGTTGAGCACCCGTGTCTAAATTTCACTTTCTGTCATTAAGTCAATGCTTATCACTAGACACAACACTCTTCTGCAATTTTTCTACTTGACAATTTAGGGGCGGGTAAAAGCTGACCTAGATCAATGGTTTGTTTTGTTTTGTTTCCTTTTGTAGGACAGTCATCAGAATCCTTTTGGTCCCTGGACTTTTTTTTTTTTTTTTTCTAATATAGGTATTTCCCCTTTTCTGCTTAAATAATGGGAATTATTTGGGAGCGACACCCTTGGACACCTTTGGTTGTTAACGGAAATATATTACGTTCCTCAAGTGGATCAGAGCAGAAAAAGTTGTGTGAGCTCCAAGCCCCCGCCCATGGAGCTGAAGCTGAGAAGCGGGCCCTGCCGGATCTAAGGGAAAGTTAGATCTAGGGGAAAGGGAAGCGACAAACTCATTCATGGATTCACGTTTCCTTCTGAGCTCGGAGGGAGCTCGGTACCCACCCGGTGCTCACGGTTTGAAGGAATGGGGGCGGTATGGGTGTCCCGCAATACCCTGGGCGGCCTTGCACGGGCTGGTCCAAAAGGAGAAGCCCATGTCGGTGGTTTGGAACTTAAAGCTCCAGGTGTAACCTACGGGGGCGTTCACCCAGCCCGGGGCTCGGACCTCCCAGGTTCGCGCAGAGGCTGCAGAGCGAGCTGAGCTGACCGCTGTGGCCGCGGCGGTGCCGCCGGTGCCAGGAACCACTTCCTGGTCAGCGCCCCCGCCCGGCGGCCACACCCCCGCGGCCGCAGCTGCCCCCGAGCTTCCCGGGGCCGGAGGGTCCGTCCGACTCCCTCCCGGGGGACCGACCGTCCAGCCGCCCCGAGTGCCGGGGGGAGGGTCCCACCAGAGGTTTAAAACACAGCGCTCTGGAACCCCAACTCCCTGGCGCCCGGCCCGTTTCCGGCGGTCGGGGCCGCGGCATCCCCCGCGGCTGCAGCCGAGCGGCCCGTCCAGGTCCCGGACGCCCGGGGCCACGGTCCCGCGGGGGACACAGGTGCGGCGGCTCCAACCTCGTCCGACTTCGCCGGGCACCTGTCGCCCCCTCGGCCGCAGGACGCGCGCTCACCTGGTTCCGGGGGCCCACGGCCGGTCCCCGCGCCTCCGGACCCCGCGCCCGCCGCCGTCTCCGTCCGGGCCACAGCCGCGGCCGCCGCCCACTTTCGGTTTCCCCGCACCGCCCGCCCGAGCTGCCGCCGCGGCTCGGGAATCACCGCCAGCCCCCGCCCCGCCCCGCCCCGTCCCGCCGGCCCCGCCCCGAGAGCGCCCGGCCTCGGTGTGCGCACGCGCGCGCGGGCTCCCCGGCCGCGTCGGCCCACGCCGGCGTCCCGCGTGGGGAGGGAAACCGACGCCGCCTAGCGGTTTCTGCGCGTGCCCACTCGCGGGCCCAGGGCGCAGGCTGCGAGGTTGGCTCAGCAGCGCCTCCTCCTGGGCGGCGCAAGTACTAGCGGGCGCGGCGGGCCCCGGACCAGCAGATCCCACCTGCTCTGAGGAGCTCCTGCTGTGGGCGTTCAACCTTGCCATCCCACATTTCATTCAACTCTTGCTCATTTCATTTTTATTCAGCTAGACAGCCACCCGGCCGCTCATTTCCTTTAGGTCTTTTTCAAGCTTCGCCCTTTCTTTCAGGGAGAGTGGCCACAATCTCAAAAAAGTCAATCTCTTCCCTGATGTTCCTTGTCTCCCTTCTTTGCTCTTTCTCTCCTTAGCATGCTGAATGTTTTTTCCTATCTACTCTCCTCCTCGAGTTAAAGAAGCACAGGGATCTTTGTCTTGTTCCCTAGTCTAACCCCAGAGCCTAGGATAGTGCCTGCACATGATAAAGGTGACATAAATTATTTGTCAAATACATTCATTCATTCTAAAATTATGGACACCTAATATTCACTTATTTCTTCTGCACATATAGTATTATCAGCACCTACTGGGCATGTTGGTTATATTCCTTAAACCAACATATGATCCAGCAATTCCATTTCTAGAGTTTACCCAAGAAAAATGAAAGCATATGTCCACTTTAAGACCCGGACAAGAATGTTCATAGTAGCTTTATTCCTAATAGCCAAAAATGGAAACAAGAAACACACCAATGTTCATCAGAAGGTGAATGGACAAACAGTATATATCGAGCACAAACTTTCATGGAGTGCCTACTACGTGAAGGCCTGTGCTTGAGGAGCTTTTGATTCAGGAATGAAAAGATAGATTGGGAGTGGATCATGGAAGGCCCAATAGACAAATGCTCAGGAGTAGGACATTAGGAAAAACTGCAGAGTCCAATATACAGAATAAGTGATAAAACCAACTGAGTTGACCCCAAGTCTAAGGTCCTTTATCCTTACAAAGGGATTCCATGTTTGGGCTAACCTGAATTAAGGAAAAAAAAATACTCTGCAGCTAATTTTTTAAGAAATCAGCTTTACTCACAAATAATTTACATCTAATAAAAAGTTTAATATACAGTTTGATGAATTTTGTTGTTTCTAGGTGTTGGCTATCTATCCTATCTAATAAAAGAGAAATATGCAAATTGACTGTCACTCCAACACACAAGATGGCTGCCCCCATGTGGTCAAAGATGGCTGCCCCCATGTGGACACAAGATGGCTGCCACAAGATGACCAGCAGGGGAGGGAGGTTGGGAAGGACCAGGCCTGAAAGGGAGGGCAATTGGGGGTGATCAAGCCTGCAGGGGAGGGCAGTAAGGGTGACTAGGCCAGCAGAGGAGGGAGATTGGGGGCAACCGGGCCTGCAGGGAAGGGCAGTTGGGGGGAACCTAGGCCTGCAGGGGAGAGCAGTTGGGGAAAACCAGGCCTGCAAGGGAGGGAGTTAGGGGTGAGCAGGCTTGCAGGAGAGGGCAGTTAGGGGAAATAGGCTGGTAGGGGAACAGTTAGGCATCAATCAGGCTGGCAGGGGAGTGGTTAGGGGGTGATCATGCTAGCAGACAGAAGTGGTTAGGGGCAATCAGGGAGGCAGGCGAGCAGTTGGGAGCCAGCAGTCCTGAATTGTGAGAGGGATGTTTGACTGCCCTCAAGGGGTCCCAAATTGGAGAGGATTCAGGGTGGGCTGAGGGACACTCCCCCATGCATAAATTTTGTGCACCAGGCCTTTAATATATATATAAAAGCCTAAGCAACTGCTTTCTGAAGCTGAACAACAAGTTCAAAATTGTACATGGTGATGAAACCCAGCCTCACAGGTTCTTGCTGCTTACGTAAGGTCAGGAAAACAGATCCACGATTAAAGGGATCTTTGGATAGATCTGCTTTTGTTTAATTGTGAATATCACGATCGCTCCCTCTCCCATCAGATGTTGCTTCACAATCAAATGCAGAGAAATGTCTAGACAATTGCAATTGTTTTAACTGAGTAAGGAGAAAAACAAAACAAAAAGCAAAAGGGAGAGATTGCCAGAGCCCTGCTCAAATCCAGGCTGCCGTACAGCCAAGGCTGTGCTGATCAAGCAAAACTCCCTAATCTGCACACAAAGGCCTCCAAGGTGAGTCAGCTGGAAGGGGCTAATCCCCAGGAGAGGCTGATCCCTAAAGCTGCAAAGGCCACACAACCGCACAATGTGGAAAATGGGGCATAACAGAAGCTTAAAGCGATCCTGTGCAGTGAGAGCTCAGAGATGGCCTCTGCCCCCTCTCCAGTTGTGGGTCATTTGCACAACTCAGCCTTGGACAAGGCCCAGATATTAGGATGATCCCAAGGATACAAATATTGAGTTGTCAGCTGGTTAAGGGCCCAGTTGTGGGGTAGGGCATGGAGGTGGGTAACTAATAACTTTAAGCAAGGCAACCAACTACAGTATTACTGATTCCATAATAGTCAACCAACGAACTGGTACAAAACGTATGTTACACTAGACGCCAGGGCGAGGAAAGGAAAAGGCAGCGGGAGGAAACCACATTAGGCATAGGGAAGCCTACCTCATGAGTCACTGAAAGAGAGAAAGCATGTGAAAATGTAAACTGACACACAGTCAAAATGCCAAACGTGTGAAAGAAACAGGAGGGCGTGGTCCGAGGAAGGGATATGAGCACCCTGTCCAAGTGACATAGAAAGCTACCGGCCAATGAGATCTGGCATGGTTGGGCCACATAGCAATGGAAGAAGAGAAAGCCGACAAGGAAAACAGCAGGACAGAGGCTTCCGGAGAGAACGAGCTGAGCCTCGGGATTAGAGCAGCCCGTAGGAAAAGGAAGGGGGCCTAGAAGACATTCCCCAAGATGCTGTCCCTTTGGTCAGGCACCTTGCCAGGCAGATGTACAGTCAACCCTGGATGAATTCTTCATTGGCTCTAGGAATCAGAGCACGGCTGCAATTACAATCCTTGTTTTGTTATACATAAAATACACTCTTTTCCAAAAAGCTTCATTATTTCATCTTCCAAGGTGAAGCACCGAGCATGACTTTTGTTAGTTATTTGCTTCAAAGTACCGGTCGCTGTTGTAAGTGACCTGTTCCTGTTACCCGCCATCCCTGCCAGCTAACCACATGGAACTCCTCCGCTCACCTCCGTCTTCCTCATTGGAGCCGGTGTCCCTGGGGGGAGGGGGGGCACACCGTCCCTGGTCACAGATGAAGCTACAGTGCAGGGTACAGAGCAGGAATGACGGACAGATGGATGGATGCATGCATGCATGCATGCATGGATGGACAGAGAGATGGACAGACAGGCAGGTGGGCGATGGATGGATAGAGATGGATGGGGAGATCAAGAAGCAGTTGGTACAAAAGGAGCCTTTATTGGGGTGAGTCGAGGGCCTCGCTAGTACAGGCTCTGGAGGGTCTGCACGGACCTCTGCCAGCTGTTCTTCCAGCGCTGGGCCTCCTTCACCTGCACCGCGTTCTCCTCCTGGGTCTTCTTCAACTCCTCTTCAAACAACACTAAGTATTTCTAGGAGCGAGGCAGCAGAAGGGGGCGTGAGGAGGGGAACACTGCAGACTGCTGGCCACTAGCTTCAACCCACGCCAGGTCCCGCCCACGGCCCCACCAGTCATTTCTCATGCATCTGCCCAACAGCCAATCAGGCAGGTCTGATTGTTCTAGAGATGGGGAAACTGAGGCTCTGACTGAGCCTTGCCTGGGATCCCCCAGCTAGAAGGAGACTAAGCAGGGGCTAGGACCCCATCTACCAGACGATGGACTCTGAACTTCTTGCTAACTGCTGCCAATACTGTGGCCTCCCAGGGGGTCAGGGGTCCTGGCTTCCTTGGGAGGTCCAGCCCTCCAAGCGTCAAGCCCTCGCTGAACTCAGCAGGCAGAGCCGCCCCCTCTGCCTGGGGCTTGGCGTGGTAGCTGGGTCAGGGCCGGTCCTGGGCACTGTAGGCTTTCCCAGTACCAGCGTCAGCATATCTCTGGGCAGGAAAAGGTTTCTCTCCGGGCATCAGGCCCAAACGTGCACACAGCTCCAGAGGGGAGAGGTCCCACAGGTGGCATCGAGGTGTGGCCTCTTCCTTCAGACAGCCCTGTGGGTGTCGGTTTTAGCCCTACCTCTGCCACTCTGCAGTGGCATGTGGGGGGCACTCTCTTTAAGCCTCGGTGTCCTCATCAGTCACATGGGACAATTCTACCGCCCTCCTGGGGATGTTACAGGGACTCAATGAGATGCCTCATGTTGAGAACAGAAACTGTCAGCCGTCCCACCCACTGCTCCCAGGGCCTCCATGCCTCTGACGGACTCTGACCCCTTGCTCTGGAAAGCCTTTCTGCACACCCCCTTCCCCCCCCCTCCACCATCCCTCCAGGCTGGATGGGGTGATCTCTGCGGGGCTCCTGCAGCACTGGGCTCACGCCATCAGACTCACGCTATCACTGGGACTGGACCTGTCCTGTGTCTGAGGACATGCACTGTCCTGAGTGCGGACACTGTGCCCTGGGGCACCCTCCCGTGTGCCATCAGCTGCATGGCCCTATGTCAGGGCGCTGTGAGGGGAGCTGTCTCCCTCCCCAGCCAGCCCAGCGGGGCTGCGGTGCGTCCTCGGGCCCGCAGGCCCCAGCCCGCCGCTCAGCTCACCAGGTAGGCTCACCAGGTAGGCGTCATCTCGGGCTTCCACGGTTGCCAGGTGGCCCAGGGTCGTTTTGAAGGTGGTGATGGACGGCGTTTTCCGGAGGAGGATCTTGTTCTGGATGGTGACTTCGGTGGGCTTGATCCCAGGCCACTTCCTACAAACAAACATGCGTGTAAAAGCCCCCGCAGGCGTGGCTTC